ACGATATTTTAACAATTATTACTATAGTCACTTTTATAAGTCTATATTATAATAGATAACATAAGTAAGGCACTCTCAGAGGGAACTTATTTATTATAGTATCGCTAGGCGTCACCATTTTAATGTATCATTTCTAGTGCATGACCAGTCAAACCTACGGCACCCTTAATTGTTTAAGACTGACTATCAAATGTTTATACGGAAGTGATCTGTAGTTGTAATTTTTATCACATATGGATCTCTTCACCACATATGAAGCTATGGATTTTTTTTACCTGCGGAGACAAATCTCAAGAAGTGTTTCAATAAGGAATTTATCGAATGTTTAGCATTATTCTGTAGTCAAATTTCGTGTAAGCTTTTTAATCTGTGTCCGATTTGCGGTGTTTCTTTATTTATAGTTGGACACACCAGAACTTATGACGGAATGAATGTCTCCGCTAAGCTCTTACACGGATTAAACATCGACCAACTACTGCAACCAGCTTCTAGACATAAATGGTTTAAACATTAGATTTTTCAAGACATTGTGCGTACGAAATGTCATTTATAGTAATTACCAATGTCAATCATTATCAATAAAAATTCCATTCGATGTCCTCTGGTTTGATGTCAGTGGTTCTATCAATCAGTATTTAATTCCTCTGGTTAAGTGTGTCTATAATCGCCGCCGTATGAACACAGAACTTTGTGCATGTTTCTAAATTCTTAATTAACACCATTTTTAGCTCGACTATTCGATAAGAATAAGTAGAGCTATTGTAGTCACCCGAGCGTCGGCGTCCGCGTCGGCGTCGGCGTCGGCGTAACCACTTATGTTAAAGTTTTTGTAATAGTTCAAATATTTTCAAAGTCCATTGACATATGGCTTTGAAACTTTGCACACTTGTTCACCATCATGACCCCAACCTGTATACAGGAGGAGGTAACTCTATCAAGCATTTTGACAGAATTATGCCCCTTTTTCAACTTAGAATTTATGTTAAAGTTTTTGTAATACCTCAAATATTTTCAAAGTCCATTGACATATGGCTTTGAAACTTTGCACACTTGTTCACCATCATGGCACCAACCTGTAGACAGGAAGAGGTAACTCTATCAAGCATTTTGACAGAATTATGCCCCTTTTTCGACTTAGAATTTACGTTAAAGTTTTTGTAATAGTTCAAATATTTTCAAAGTCCATTGACATATGGCTTTGAAACTTTGCACACTTGTTCACCATCATGACCCCAACCTGTAAACAGGAGTAGGTAACTGTATCAAGCATTATTTTTTACTATCAAGCACTAGAATAGTCGAGCGATGCTGTCCTACCGACAGCTCTTGTATGTTATGCTAATAATAAATTTCTGCAGCGATTCTCGATCGCAGCGAAATCTCAGCCATTGATAGCTACATGTACCATGAATAAATATATGCAAAGACAGCTCTCACTGCGTTTTTAGTCACGCAGTAGAAATATGGAGATATATACGGCAAAATCAGTCATTAATCGCGCACATGACATGTAAATTACTACTTGAATCATTAATCCTTTTACTTTTCTTAAAAGCTAAGTGTATTTTTCTCAAGTTTGATTTTCTTGAAATATGTTAGTTCATCTTTAAAGCTGGTGGATTTTAAAAGCTCTTGGATACTAAATCACTTTAAACTAACTATTACAAAGCAGGGCAAGTCCGTTACAGTAATGGTTAAAATACACATTGACTATCAACACAAGCTTATTTAACAAGATAATTTTAGAGTATGAAAAATGTCTGGCGTACAGTTGTTTATTTTACACCGAAGATTTGATGTGATAACATTTTACTATATTATTAATTGATATACAAAAGAAAACAATACGAAATGAAAATTGAATTATAAAAACATACATTGTTGGATTTAGACCGAAAGCGAATAATTTTGAATGAGATTATTTATTTTCTATACATTTTTTGGGACAAGCTACAACATCTTTCTTCTCGCCAAAGTAAACATACTTAACGCATTTGCATTGAAGTAGTTTGAGATAGTACACATCATTTCAAATTTTACATTATAAATCTAGAAAATATTCAGTCCCTTGGTGATTAATATGTACATATCGAAGGATATTTTGATAGACAGCCTAACAAATAGGAAAATTTTGCAATTTACATTTACCTGCATTTATATAGATCTACGTTAATTTATTCCCACGCCTAACTTTATTTAAAAGTAAATATAGTCTAATATGATTAGATATTTAAAAAAACAGATTGGCAGTCTTATAACAGTAAAAGTCAAAAGCTATTTCGAATGCGCCCTGAATGTTGGATATAATATACCCTGTACATACTATTTGAAAGTGCTTTTTTAAATAGTACAATCCAAAAAAATGACACTGCATCTTTAAAGATCGGATTAAAAGCCAAGTGAAATATTTTATTCGAAAAAAAAAACAAAAACAAACAACATATACATATGTTCATAGCCAAGTTACTTTTTGGCAGTACAATACAAAGTACAGAAAAGTATGTTACATTAAAATTTGTACATTTAAGTAGACTCAATCTTAGTTGCATCTCTGAACATACAAATTTTTCTAAATTACATTTTTGTTCTTTTTTTTTTTTTTTTTTTTTTCGTAAGCTAGATACATGTATGAAAAACCTAAATCTGTCATGTTATAATTAAAATGGTATCTCACGATCTGCGATTGTATATACGTATACTCGAGATCCATTGAAAGGAACATAATTATAATGTCGTCTATAAAATTTTAATTTGCGATGTGAATAGTTTATGTAAAAGACTCTATGTACAGGTGATATATCTAAATTTAGGTAACAATTGCATGTACAATGTATTATATATATATATATATGCCCATTAATGTGTTTATATAAAACCATTAGGCATGAATCGTAGTTTCTTTTGACAACCTTAAGATTGATGATTTTGTCATTTGAATATCTCATTTTTCAATGAATAAATTGTATGTCTAACCGTTTAATACAGTACATGTATAGATTTCTACATTTGCAAATAATTTATATAGAAATTTAATTATATCAGAATCAGATAATTGTGTGACATGGCGCCTGCATCTATCGCTATTAAAGTACAAGTATAAGTATACAATTTATATATAATGTCTTAATGGTGATGTGTGTTTACTTATTTATACAGCTTGATGTTTTTCACGATCAATTATTTGCTAAAATGAATCACAGTTTGACGTGCAGCTGATTGTTTACATAGTTGCCACGATACAATAAAACCGAATGATTCCGAATGAAATATCGACCAATCAAAATCGCTATAGACCAATTAACTCTTCGTAAAGTATACACTTCCGGGTCAAAATTGGATACCAAACAGGATTAAAATGTATACATTCTGAAAGACAATAGATCGATTGATTTAGATTTATTATTAGATACAGGTTTACGAGATAGCTAAATTGAAGTTGATATCAAAGGAAAAATGACTGATCTTGAGGAATATATTTTTGATGAGGACGGAAATCCAATTTTGCAATGTCCTAATTTTCCACAAGAAGAACAATTATTCGCAGACGAGGATGATTGTAAGGATATATTTCACATTAAAGGGGACGGATACGATGTCACCTTGTCGCTGGCTAGAGGTCTCATCACCTGGAGTAATGTCAATCCTTCCGGTAATTATTAATGTTCATGTATTTTTTTAACGGGGTTGTGAGTTATGATTTATTTTAAGCAGTGTGTCTTATTCAGCTCTTAACCGGTGACCGGGTATTGTCATACATGGAATATAGTTTCCAAAGTATCTGAAAATGTAGAAAAATCAGTCCAAAAAAAAAAACGAACTCGGTTAGATTGGAAATACAAAATTAATTAGAGTTATTTGTAAATTTGATGTATCTTTGATCTGCAGATGTTCATTACATTTGATAATTTTATGATGATTTTTTTGTGATTTAATTATATTTTTCTTTTAGTATATAAAGAGGTGGTGGGGGTTATGCAGTCATGTGAACTCTCCCACTTTAGGCGGGAGACTCCCACTTTTTTCAGCCATATTTTCAAAGATTTTTCTTAAAATTATGGGTATTTTCACAAATTAAAGAAATCTCCCTATTTTTGATGTCAGAACTTCCTTCTTTGTTTATTGCAAATTCTAAAATCTCCCTCTTTTTGAAGAAAAATCTCCCTCTTGATCATTGAAAAAAGTTCACATGTATGGTTATGGAAAGCATTGTAATAAAGTTTCATATATGTGGTTAAGACAACTATAACTTTGTGTAAGCACGGACTTAAATTGTCAATTAAAGTCTGTGATATAAGTGTAATCTTTAAATATTGATATTGACCCAGCAAACACATGGCGTCGGCTCAAGGTCAATCTAAAGTTGGTTCTGACATCCAATGACGGTCAGAAAAGTCGGTTATGGGAGTTTTTGAGACATCATTTTCAGACATCTATTTCAGTATTTGCAGTGTCATAATCTGACCATTTTTTGGACTGCAGTCTTACCAATTTCTGACCAATAACCACAGTCCAACCAGATTTTAGACGTTGGATAGAAATTGCATTATGGTTGCTGATGTTGCGACCAAATCCTAACATCAATCTGACGTTTTGTAAATGTCATGTGTTTGCTGGAGACAGTCATAGTATATTTAATAAGTTTAAACTCTTAAGTCTTCAATAAATATAGAAAAATGAACACAATTGCTCTCACTGCAGCTAAATTCATTTGAAGATACTTTCCATACAGCTTAAAATGTTTACGGTTAGCTTATTTTGGTACCGAAAAGATAAATTATGATGATAACATAATGTACAATGTCAATGATAATAAATCATCTTCTTTGGGGACATTACATTGTACATTTAGTCAAGATTTCCATTTCAACCAGATTCATCAATGGACAATATATATATACTGTGTTTATTGGACAGACAATGGATGTGCTTTATGAAGATCATTTACTAAATGCTTCACATATTATTGCATTGTGGGCAACCCCCTGCTACGCACGTCATTATCTTATCTTGAGTAAACAAGATCTTTTTTTGTAAAAATCATTCTTTGCTATGCTACTATCTCTTTATCATTATCAAGCTGTCCTAAGATGTTTTATCAAAAGGCTTTTTCATCTCAGTTCACAAAGAAAGCCATGCTGTCACTTGTATATAAATGGGAGATGTATTTATATAGAATGATAAGGTTTTTCATTAAATACTACTCATTCAATGCAGGTTTTGACTGATATTACATTAAAATCACATGAAAAGCTTATATTCTATTCATTGTATTTGTATAGTGTTTTTCTTTTGTGATCTCTTCAGAATCTATTTTTTTTTGTATTTTAGGGAAAATATTACTGGATGTCATAATACAATTATTGTCAATTGATGTAATGATATTACTGATTTTGAATGAATGAGTGGGTGGGTGGGTTTGTGGGTGGATGGATGGATGGATGAGCTTTCAACCTAACATTCGGCCTGATTCAGCTAAATATCTTAAATGGACATGTCCATCTTTGATTCTGGTCAAAACCCTTATCCATTTTTAGAAGAAAATAATAGATGTCAACTGAGTTGTACACAGACCATGATCTGGACTGCATGCATTTACAGACTAATCTTGGAGTGCACTGGTCAACATAGGTAGATACAGTCATGGCAAGCAGACTAAGGACTAAAATGAGCCCAGTCATGACAAAACCAACATAATGGGTTTGCTACCAGCATGGATCCAGACCAGCCTGCGCATCCGCGCAGTCTGATCAGGCTCCATGCTGTTCGCTTACTAACTCTATTACAAGTAGAGAAACTGATAGCCAACAGCATTGATCCTGATCAGACTGCGCGGATGCGCAAGCTGGTCTGGATCCATTCTGGTCGCAAACCCATTATGTTGGTTTTGCCGTGATGTGGCTCAAATCTTGATTCCATTTCAGGAAAAAAGAAAGGTTTATTCAAGGGAAAAGGCAAAGGCGAAGACAAAAATACTGTCATGCTCAAGGAGGTATTTGGTGTAAAAACAAAAAGAAAGAAGTCCAATCTTAGTTCAAGTGAGGAAGGGGTTTGTGTTGGTAAGACATTTTGATCATTTTACATGCACTTTGCTTCTGTAACTCCTACATTGAACAATTCACTGCATAAAAAAGAAGGTTTAGAAATTTTTTCTGGTTGATACAAAGGCAGTAGACAATTTTAAGGCCATAAACCAATCATATGTACATGAGAAAGCTGTATGTTTCACCATATTCCACAATTAATGAATTTTTAAATGAATAAGTTGTTCTGTTTAACCGTTTTTTAAGGCAGGTTTGGTAAGGGAACCTTGTCATTAAAGCATATAATTTAATTCATATTTATATTTTTACTAAATTCTTAGAGGTTCTTTTTTTAGACGTAGCCAACATATATAAAATCAGGACAAGAAATCCTATGGTTTTTGATATATGATCTTTATTTGGGAAAGCAGGGTAACAAATGATTATGAAATTTATCACATATACCATGCAACCTCGACAGAGTGACCTTCTGTAGAGAATAACCCCTTTATAACAGACAGTATCATTTCTTTCTAAAATAGGATTTCCAATTGAATTTAACTTCTTTCAGGGCTTTTTTTCCCATTCCATAGGGGGTCGCCCTGCTAAATTTCCAAAGAAAAATTCTTTAAAATCATGCAGTTTTCCTCAAAAATTGAATTTACATCAAGTTTTTCTTCCCTTTTTGCAAAAATATTGTGTAATCCCCCCCCCCAAAAATTAAGGTCAGGGCTACTTCCCCAATCTGTGAAAAAAGCCCTGTCTTTAGAGAAACGCCTTTCAACAACAACCAAAATCTTTTATCTCCCAAAGGTAGTTGCTCTGAGATTGTACTGTATTTATTATTGTATTTTCAGGGTTTTCTGTCCATGTGGCTGATGCATTTGGTCCTAACACATTATCTGAAAGACTGATAGTATTTGAACACCCTAGTGAAGCTCTCTGTTCAATGTATGTCAGAAAGATAAATATGTACATGGAAGGTAGGTCACTTTATATTTTTCAATTCTTTCAAGGATCTCATATATCATTATATTAAGAGGATATTTTTTCGTTTGAGTGAAATATGGAATATATTTTCACTCAACATGATAAAATGCCACATATTTTCACGAGCCGGGATGGCAAGTGAAAATATGTGGCATTTTATCATGTTGAGTGAAAATATATACCGTATTTCACGAAAAACGAAAAAATAACCTTTTTATTTATTTCAGCATCAAAGAAAAATGGTTATGAACTCCCTTGCTTGCTAAGCAACTGCAATTTTACAGCGTGCAGTAATATAATTATTGTCTTGTTTTGCACGCGATATATAGCGCTACATTGTGATGTCACGTAAACATCTCTTTAAACGTCTGTACAGCGTTAATGACTGAATTAAATATATTGGTGTTCGGATTTATTTTCTTAGTTAGACCATTTTCTCTCATTCTAGATAGTTTTAAAACAAAATTCAACAAAAGTTGTTTTGTATTTATAAGATTTTTCAAACAAAATGGCGAAAGAAGTCCCATAAAATAAATATGAGTTTTGACTCCGCCCACTTTCATATTTATATTATATATTTATTTTTAAAAAATATGAAATATATTTGGCTGATATAGCACCATATTTCATCGGTAAAATTAAATTAAGATTAAAATTTTTTCTTACTCAGAAAAATAAATTGTATATTTTCAATGTATCAGGATGCATTACCTAAATGTTATCAGGCATAAAGGAATAAACTGCTATACAATACTTTGGAATTATGAAGAATTTCTATAGAAAGAATGCTTAAAATGATTATCATAAAGTGACTTACACATTCTTCTCTCTACATTCATGTAGATTCATGTTGATGGATATAAATTATTTAATAGATACATTTACTCACTATTACACAAATTTTAAACCATGACTTTTCTTTTTGATGAGCCAACCAAAATACAAATACCCATGTTTATGATTTAAAATTAAGATATATTTTACTTTTTTTTCTTCCAGAAATGCATGATCGTCCAAAGTCTGTAAAACTGTTCCTACAAACGCATGCAGGAAGTAAAAATGGTAGTGCAGTCTACAAAAATAAAGTGACACCATTGTTTCAAGCTGCTGATGTACATGTAGATTGTGTTGGTAAGTTAGATAAATCATTTAAATTTTTTATCCCCCCTGATTTCCTGTAATGGGCTCGTCCTAGATTGATTTAGGTCTTGAAAATTTGGTAATTAGCAGTTGACAGGATATAAAGGTCACACTGCACAGACACAAGGTTCAGACTGTCTTCATGAAGAATCTAACCATGTAACCTTTACCGTCTTAATACCTGAAATAGACTTGTTTATTTTTCAGTCTTTACAAACCATTCATCATTTTTTTGCAGGAAAATTTAAAGACATGCACTGACTGAACTACTGAAATAATATGAAAATATATTTATGGAAGATAATAATTGACATAATGTAAGGTGAAAAATTTGGATCATAAAACATCATCAGTATTTTTGTTTTTTTTAATACTGTTCATCATTTATTTATATTATTCAGTCAACTTTATTGTGTAGGGATGTAAAATGATTTTTTTATCCTCATGGTGCATGGTATATTATGAGCTGATGGCCTTATAATCAAATAAATATGGTTGTTGTTGTTGTTGTTTTTGTCATGTGAGAATGAATTTTGTTTATTGTTATTCAGAGGTGCAGCACAATGAGCACATCAAGCAAGAAATGGTGCACATCAACTTGGACGATTACGACTGGTATGGCATACCATAGTTTCATTACATAAATACAGATATTTTTGACCAAAATAGAATATGTAAAGATTTAAGATCCAGTCACAAAGTAAGTGTCAAAGGGTGAGAAAAATGTGCAGCCTGACCAGGACTCGAACCTAGGACCCTCAGAATACCGTTCCGCGGCTCTAGCGGCTGAGCTATCCAGCCCCTTACACATCTGTTACCCTAAATAGTGAACAGTTCTGAACTGTGACATGAAGTTTGCTGCTATTCTTTTCAAAATGATTTCTTTTAGGTTATTAAGAAATACAGTAACATTATTATTTTGTTAATTAATCTATTTTGTATGCAAAAGGAGTGAAATGAAAAAAAAGTGATATTTTGCTGTAAATAATTGCAGTATAGTAGCAATGGGTGGAGACGGGACAGTAAGTAAGGTGGCAGATGGTTTGTTGACGGCTTCACAGAAGAGGAAGGACATTGATCAGAAGTCTGGATTTACACCAGTTAAAGCGGCCATTCCTCTTGGTATAATCCCCATAGGTAAGGATAGTCAAGTAGCTCAGAGTTATGTGTTTGTTATTCAGTAGAATATGATAATGTGTTTAGCCTGCCATGATTTGACATTGACCGTGAAAAGTGTTCACAAAACAGTATGATTATGTTTGTTGTTTTATATTTCAAGTTTGTGTAATTGCTTAAAGGTGACATTCCATCTTAACCCAAGAATGCTGACCCTTTTTTCCTCATGTACATGTACATGTAACATCAGTACATGCTAGTTATTATTTTATCTTTTGTTCATATAGGATTGAAGCTAAAAGCTTATGTTTTGTACTGTTAACCATAATGACAATAAATAAAGTTTGTCTTACTTTCATGGCAATCTTTGAATTGGTTCAGATATTTAACTTGCTATCTTTACAAATCAGCTGAAATGAAATAGCGTTTAAAAAAAGTTATATCCAACAATCTTCCATAAACATTTTGTATGTCAATTATAATTTTTTCTCTCTGTTTTTAAGGTTCGACAAATGACACTGGTCGATCAGTTATGGGGACGGATGATGTAATTAGTGCTGCATTGTATATAATACTTGGACGCTGTACAGCGGTGGATATCTGTTCAGTATATAGGGAAGATAGATTGATGCAATGGTGTTTCAACTGTCAATACGGGTTTGCTGGGAATGTATTAACTTTTCGGAAAAGATACAAATCTCTGGGCAAGAGAGGGCTGGAACCAGCGTTTATAAAAGCTTTGACAAAGGCAAAGTTAAGGTAAGAAATGAAACAATAATTCATGGAATATACACAAAGATTATTATTATCTTGAAAATATTAATTTGAATGTCAGTTTATTGTTATTGACTGAAATTTAACCAACAGTACTTTTATCTGTGCTTTTTTTTCACAGGTATATTAATTATACACAATTTAACCCTTTATTTAAACATTTTTTAACAAAGTGCAATACCTGTAGTGTACCAGTAATAAAAGAAATGAATTTTTGTTACTTCAGGGCATACAAATGTAATAATAAATATGAATTCTTATTACTTCAGGGCATACAAATGTAATAATAAATATGAATTCTTATTACTTCAGGGCATACAAATGTAATAATAAATATGAATTCTTATTACTTCAGGGCATACAAATTTCATAATAAAAAATGAATTTTAATTTCTTCAGGCCATACAAATGTGATGTGGAGTACATACCGGCAGACAGTTTACCAAAAAATCGCAAATTCTTGCCTTGTTATCGAGGGTAGGTACAAATTATGGTTAACATAACATTATTAAATCAGAAGTGACATCATCAATAGCACAAAATATATATGAATGAAACATAATGACATCATATCATAATATGACATCATTTATGGCATGATATAATAAAATTTACAGCTCTGCTAATTGGATGACAACTCGATAATTGGATTATAACCTCACTAATTGAATTATAGTTACACAAATTGGATTACATCTGTACTGATTGGATTAAAAATTCTATAATTGGATTTATACCCTTAAATGTACAATTATTTCATTCACTTTCAGGCTTCTTGTTATTATGTTTTATTTATTATTTACATACAAAACATTCTACCTTAATCATTTTATCAAACAGCTTAATTAAATTTTGACTAAAAGTATGCAAAAGAAGTACACCTAAAGCTGCGATTTGGAAAAAAAGAGAGAAATATAATTATACATGTAAATAGATAATGCAAGTGTGTTTTTAATTTTAACCAAAAGTGAGCAAAAGGATGCACCTAAAGCAGCTATTTTGGGAAAAAAAAGAAATATTGTTTTAAATACATGTGTATGAATAATTGTACATGTAAATAGATAATGTGAGATGTGTTTTTATAACAGATGTGACGTCTGCTGGCATGAGGAGGTGGTAGATGATAATGGAGTAACAGAAGATCTTGTACAGGCGTTTGATCCTCTAGCCGAGTCTAACAACAGTGATACCTTAGTCAGTAAGTAAAATTTGCTGCTCTATCAACAAACCTCTGAACATTTCATTATGACAAAGTACATGTAGCTGGGTAAATTCCTTACAACATTTCAGCAAACCACCTATCTTTTCGTTTTGTTGTTTTGTTGTTGGTAAATTTCCCTCCAACATTAATTTTTATTTGGTCACTTGACTACTTTCGTTAAGGTTCTATTAAATTTCGTTTTTCCTAATAATGAACACATTTTAGTTGTCACTTTATCTTATAAAACATATTGATTTTTCTTTTCCCTTTCTCAGATTTGGACTGAAACATTTATTTTTTTCTTTTCCCTTTCTCAGATTTAGCATGAAACATTAATTTTTCTTTTCCCTTTCTAAGATTTAGCATAAAACATTTATTTTTCTTGTCCTGACTCAAATTTAGCATCAAACATTGATTTTTATTTTCCCTTTCTCAGATTTCGCATGAAACATTGATTTTTATTTTCCATTTTCTCAGATTTGGCGGAGCATGAAGACACCCCCTGGAGAAGTAGGAAGTCAGATTTTCTCAATATAGGTCTGTTTACTATACCAGGACGGTCTGAGTTAGCCCCAAGGGGGATGAGTAAATACTCCCACCTCAATGACGGGGCCATTGATCTCGTCCTAGTGAAAGATGCACCAAGAAAAGAGTTCATACGAATGCTCAAAAGGTTAACAAATGCGAAAAACCAGGTACGCTAAAAAAAAGTTTTATGCGCTGTATTTTTAGTTGAAAATAAATGCTATTATATCCGCATATTTTGTTAGGTTGTCAATTTGTAAATGTTTCCTGATTAAGAATATTCCCTTTGAAAAATGACAATTACTTTGTGACGGAAATAGTGTTTGAAAGTTTGCATGCACATATGTCTCAGTGTTTTTTTTCTTTATATAACTACTACCCTAAAACGGTACTGTTCCCAATAGAAAATAGACATTAAATTCCCAATTTCCAATGTTTAAATTCCCAAAATGGTTGTTCAAAATTGCCACAAGGCCAAGAGAATTTCTCTGAAATCATTTAAATGCAATATTTTCATATAAAACACCACTCAATAGTTCTACCTGGACAGTGGAAGCTGTAAGCTATCTTTATTCATGATGACTAATCTTAATTGTAGCTGAAAAAATGCATGACAAAAATCCCAATTTAATTCAAAATAATGCATTTTTTCCCAATCAGTCTGGTACCGGCACCATTCCCAAAGTAGAGAAAAAAAACGCTGTGTCTTAAAAGTGGCTATACGAGGCTTACAAGATTCTGAAATGGAAAGTCTTAGATTGGAAATAGATTTTAATTTTGAGTTTATTGTTAATATAAATTATAATATTACATGCATGGTATGGAGTTCAAATGTTTGTAAATAGCATTTAGACCATTTTGTGCAATGTCATACATTTTGTAACTTATATATTTAAAATCTACTTCTATCGCTAGATTGACAAGCACATTGTTCAAATTTACTGTAGTAAGATTCAAGTTCATTGAAATACAATTTTTGCATTATTATTGAATCAGTTATAAAAGAGAGCATTGTTAAGTGTCCGGTATTAAATTTTGCAATTATTTTTTTTACAGCTTGACTTTCCGTTCGTGGAGGTGTTGCGAGTAAAAGAAGTCAGATTCCGACTACGCTTGCCAACTGGTTTTAAATACAATGACACTAACTTCAATGAAATAGACTATGAATTAGAGCGGAGAAAAAACCTAATTGATAATGCTTCAAAGTCGGACATTTTAGAACTTAGCGAATTAAGTGATTCAGATGATGATGATGCTCTTTCGAAAAGCAATAACTCAACCGGAAAAACTGTGCAATCAATTTCAACTACAACAAAGTCTAAGCCACCGTTTAAAAAATCGCAAAGTGTTCAACAAATCTCATCCAAGTTATTAAAACGCACAAATACTGAAACGTCGATTAAGGTCAAGAATATGGATGATTCTGAAGATTCTGATGATGATGACCTTGATGATGATGATGACAGTGATAACTCAGGGGACATAGTCGTAAGTATTTTAACCTCATTTTGGTTTGAAATAATGAACAAAAAATAAGTCCAAAAATATTTTCTTTCCTTTTCTAAATAACAAGAATATGTTTGAATGGGAATTTATTTTGACTTTTAGCAGAGCTAATGTACTCACCCTGGCCATGGTGTCACCAACACACTTTGATTAAAGTTTTTGCCTGCAAGTTGGTATCTCCAAAACTACTGAAGGCAATGGGTTGAAACTTTAAACACTTGTTCTCTGTGATTATCTTACATTGGTCATAATTCTGAGTCCTTTTAACAGAGTTGGACATCTTTTCTTAATGTTAAGGACTAGGAATAGTTGAGTGTGATGTCTTGTTTAATGGATTGTTTGGACTGTAAAAGGGGACCTAACTGAGTGATTTAGAGCAGTCAGTTTGAAGTCTTGCAACTCACTACTTTGCATCATTTAATTCTTTATTTTGAGGAAGCTATCCACCGAAGATACAATTGCTCATGATAACAATTGATATTTTTGTCTTTTGACCTACATTAAATTTGTACACAGGCACCTTTATTTTTCACTTATTCAAGACTAGTAAAGTTTGGAGGTTACAACATTAATTTACCATTGTTAACCTGTGTTAAATGCAAATTGAATAAATGTAAGTGATTTTCATGTAGAATGACTTATACCTTGTTTTTTTATCCCCCCACCCAATATATAAAGAATAATTTTTGACAAATACTATTTTATCAGAACATTAATTTTTAAATGATTTTTTTTTTCTTTCTTGTTACAGTCCATTAACTCAGTTGGTGTGCGAACAGTAAAATCAGCGTCTGCTGCGGACCAGAAACTCTGCGGTCCTGCCTATAGACCAACATTTGCCGAGCAGGATCGAGCTAGGCGTAACCGTCGGTTACAGAAGAAGGAGGAGAAAAAGAAGGCAAAGGAAGAAATGAGGATGAAATCTGTCTGGAATATTGATAATGAAATCAAGGAGGAGGATGTGCTAAGCTTCAGGTAAGTTCTCGTCAATGATTGGTTGATATGATTATTTCAGAGACACAAGGATTTTTCTTGCATATCAGACAGAATTATCTCCTGTTTACACTGGTGCTAGAAAAAACTGTCTTGCACCTCCCATGTTAGACAAGTCACATGCTTGAAATGACGTCATTTCCGCTCACCTTTTATGAATGAATTGTGTTCTTAGGATGACGTCATTTTACCATTATGAATGAAGTTGTAAGTTCATACGCTACTATAAGAACAAAGTGTGTAATTAAAATATCAGTTTTCGTAATTTCTGTTCATGGAATATGCCAGAAAAATAATTAAACACCAGCTGTCATTACAGACAGGAATATCTAGCTCTCGGGGTAACTCTTTAGCAGAAACTCATCAGAGCCTTGTTACATCCATAAACAGTTACCCTCAAGTCTGTATCGGCAGCCAGTGTAAGATTCTGACAGTATTCACTCATCCGCAGCCCCTACTATCCACTGTCCACGCAGGATATGTTGAGCATTTAGGGCAAGGCGTTAATCTCTCTGTGACAGTTGATCTCAGACATTGAGTCTTACAGTCATTTGTCTCTTATCACTGATTTTAGAAATCATGTAAGACTATTGGGCGTTCAATTAATTATTGAGAAGTTTGTAATTACTGGTTGGTTATGCAGGAAAGTTGGTTGGGTGGACCAAATGCTGACATGTGACCTAAAATGTGTTCAAATTGGTGAATAAACACGAACAAACAAATCATAGAGAAATGTTCATAGATGGCTGTTCTATTTTAATTGCACAATTCACATTATGGTATAAGTTTTGGAAATTTGGAATGGATTGTGGAGTTCTGAATGAAACAAAAATGTTTTTATCATCATCATAGATGTGTATTATAATTATGGTATTTATATAAAGTGGTACCAAATAGGTTTGGAAACATGCAAGTGACTACATTCATGCTATTTGAGAATTTATTATTAGCATTTTCTTCTGCATTGAAATATTGTCTATAGAATTTTTGTTTTTTGCTCTTTGAAAGTAAGATGGATTTGTATAAAGAATTGTGTTTTAACAAAAATGACTTCCAGTGATAACTCTTTATTGTTATTTTAATTCCAGAGTACATCATGGCTTACTTAAAATTTATGGACAAGGTGTGTCACCAGATACTGTTGTTTATGAACCTACATTACTGTGTATACCAAGAATGTAAGAATAACACAACTGTGAGAATTGCTACATGGGAAGGATTTGTCACAGAAAACTGTACGGAAAATATGACATCCATGTTCTTTTGCCATGCTTTTATTTTTTGCCATTATTGTGTATAATGTTTTATCTTCCAAAGGGAATGTCAACTTTATTAAATTTCTATCACCACAATATACACATATAATATTTGTTGAATTTGATAAATATACTATTTGAGAGCACACTGCTTTGCAAGAAAATGTTTCTATGCATATAAAAATGCATGACTCAAAACGAGTCAACATATTAACATATGACATTTATCTCCATTTAAGAATACTGGAATAATCATTTGTTACAAACACTATGGTGTTAGGTGTATATCAATATTAGATAAGGAAATAATAGGGGGCATTATTTCTAACGAATGTATGATTATGTTGGTGAAGTTTATAAAATAATGAATGATGCAGACAGGGTCTCCTGTTAGAAAAGCAATAAAAGCTCAAATGGGCAGTCTTTATCACCCACACTAAACAGTGGCTCTTTCACATTTTGGTTAATTGTGTGAATGAGAGCCCTCGACACTTCCGTTGTAGAGCCCTCGACCAAATCAAAGCTGAAGATGATTAACACAGTTCTAAAAATGTCTGGTTTTAAAGAATATGCTTTAAAGAATGGTATGCCACATAGAATTGTTTTGGATGCCACTGTTTAGTAGGGGTGTACATAAATGTACCAAAAAAACTCTAAAGGAAGTCCTGTTTCATAGTGTTTATATCCAGCAACAAAATTGCAATGGATGTTGGTTATATCAAGGGTATTGTTCTTATTTTTGTATTTTATTTTCCTATATTCGTCATGGGGTTATATAAAGATGTAGGTCATCTTGGTGAGAAACAATCGTACCTGCGTTTATAAGAAAGACTCGGATATAGGGATCTTTCATTGGCATTCTTTTTTTGTTTGTTTGTGTTTACTTTTAAGGTTTTGTTTATAAATGACATTGTATATAGTAGAGGACAAATCGTCTCCATTAGCTTAAAAGGTTGTGATTTTAGTAAATTTTTATAATACTGCACATTTGTTACAAGAATTATCTTTGGGAAAGTCACGAATTTTTTTACCATATATATGTACACAACTGCTGCAAATTTATGAATTAATATTCATTTTAATCAATTTGAAAATAACTTATTTTCATTTTAATAAATTTCATCCTTGCATGATACTGCATATTTGCAACATCACTTTTCATTGGATAATCACGTTTATATAGTTTTATATACATGGCTGCTGTCAATTTTCTGAGAAATCTCACTTTTTTCTAAAAAAAAAAGGAAGTTTGCTGTATTATCAATTTGTTATAAATATTCCTGACAGGTTATACGACTGTATACATGTATAAACAGTTTTTCGCATGTGATCCTTGCCTAACAGCTTGGGTTATATTTCCAAACAGCCATTTATATTGGGCCATATAACCTGTAAATATCCTTAAAACTAATATTATAAAGGCTTTAGTGAGTTTATATAGTTATATAATCCCAGTTGTTGCTATATATTCTAATATACATGTATATATAATCTTGCAACTGTTTATATTCAGCCATATAACCTCATCTGTCAAAAAATCTATATAACTTATACATGTTTATGGTTTTACAAATATCTTATCAAAATAATATACATGCATATGGTTGTACAAATATCTGATTATATTGATTGATTTTTATTGAAATTTACACAAATTACATTCCGTCCATGTTGTTAAGTTTTTACTTACTGTATAGTTGATTTTTTAAATCTTTAATTTCTGTTTACATTTGATTTTGATTGAAAATAGCTGAATAATGTAACAGTATTATAATTTATATTATTTTTATTTCAATGTATGTATTATAAGTGTACTCTGCCCTTTAACCCTTACCACTGCTGGTACAGAAAAGTGGTTAGCCTTTGCCACTTTTATAAAGAACCCACAGTATATAAATGAAATCACTGTACCCTGTCTTGCGAGCCTATAATACAATTCAATGTGTACCATGGGACCAAAATGTCGGGATGATATTAACACCTAAATGAACGTCTGATTTCAGTGACTGTATTTTTTAACTCTAATTTCAAAATATACAAAAACATTTCAAAAGTGACATCAACATTATGTCATGGTAAAATGCTATGTTCCGTAATAGCACCAAAAGTTAATAAGACGACTAACCGTCTAATAATATTTTGTGTAATGTCTAACAACCATGTCTTGCCATTACAAGTAGGTTTTACTTCCAAAATCACAAGACACTTCTTTGGAGTTTATATATTTCAACTTGAACCTTCCTTGTGATAACAGGAAGTTTAGACTTGTTTATATATTGTGGAGCCAGGCCATCCTGCACTTGAGCAAGTTCTTTACTGATTTCTGGCCAACTTCAAATTGTCATCTTGATATCCCCAAAATTGACAATGGCCAGTTCCAAAAATGGAAGCTGGACAAGTCCATTTAAGAAAATTAGCAGGTTAAGGGTAAAATTTGTGTTGTGATTAAATGATTTGTCATTTTGTTTGTTTATAATATACAATCTACTCAAAATATGTCTTATGTTTTGATGATGAAGATTGAAAACATATGTTTTAATTTACATAGTTTTAGTCTTCTTTAGTTTAAAAGGGTCTTAGGTACATGTAGCACTTTTGGACAAATATAGCTGGTTTGAGCAATCTTTCTTCTTTGGATAAAATGCAGCTCTTTTGAGTGTATGGAGATCTCATTAAAAGCTCAATAACATATTGTTAACATTTAAAAAGATTTACTTCAAATGATAAAAAGACTTTTAGAATAATAAAACATTATTAAGTCTTCATAATCATTAATCATTCAATATTTCAAGTAATTCCTCAAAGTTTCTATGACATGAAACAAAACATTGTATAGAGGATATTGTATATGGCTTTTAGATCATATTTACTCAGCCATATGTCGGCCTCATTCATAAGCCGGGGTATATTGTCTCTAGAAAAACCTTGACACATCCATAAGTATGTCGATTGCATAATATTTGAGTAAATATGTTCATACACATAATTATGTGAGACTGTGCTTGCAATATAGTGCCATAACATTGTGCATTGTGATATTCTGCAATATAATTTAACATACATTTTAGACTTCTGAAAACAAGTGTTATACAGCCATGAAATTTGTAAATCAAATGTTGTTCTAGTTTTGGCCTTGTTGATAAATTTAGCAGTTTCAGGAATTAGATGAAGAGATGATTTAAAAAGAAAATTCGAGAAAGGCAATTAAAAATGTCAGCAAAATATTATTATAGAAAAAAATCAAAGTTTTATTACAGATTATGAGATATGTTTATGGAGTTTAAAGAAATTCTTGATTTACCGTACCTGATAAACAGAAATCTGTTGTGTTACTTTTTTGACCAATCCGGCTTAAGTGCCTCCATTTTGTCATGTTGATAAAGTTGATTCATTTTAAATATTTGCTCCAGATGCTTGAAGTTTTTGACTGGTTCCCAACTTTTGCACAAGTATGGTTCCTGTTTACACTTGAACATCAAAAATTAAGAAACAATTATGTACATTGCATCTACAGTTTTTCAGTCAATGTTAAATTGATGTTTTTTTTAATCATATTTTTTTTTTATTTCTTTAAATGGTTTGCCTTATTTTGTATTTTTGTTTGTTTATTAAGCACATTGTTATTTTATCATTAGTTATTGTCTTATTGCAAAGTTAGATTTTTTTTGTATAAACTTAAATATAAATTTTTTGTGTTTTGAACTTTAATTCTTATACATTAAAGACAATTATACTATAATGTAATCTTTAATATGTGACATTCCTTGTTAAAGACGTCAAAAAATGAGCAAAACTGTATGAATCTTGCCATTCCTCGCAGTTTAAGCTCGACTGTATGAAGAAAAAGGAGAGCTGTCATACTTACCCTGGAATTGGCAATTGGCGTCCCATTCACACTTTGGTTAAGGTTTTGTTTGCAAGTTGTTTTTTCCAAAACATTTTAAGGGAATTGGTTAAAACCACACACTTGTTCTCTGTGATGATCTAACCGGATAAGATGGCAGGGGTCCCATAACTCTTTGAGTTTCCAATTTTACAGAGTTATGCTCCTTTTCTTACTGTCAAGCACTGAGAATAGTTGAAGAGCGCGCTGTCTAACAAACAGTTTTTGTTTTATTTTGAAGCTCACTATTTTTCTCGTTTATAAATTGTTTTAAAAGCACAGTATATAAATAATTATTAGCCAAAAACACATTAAGTATATCATTATTTTTTTTCTTAGCAATGAAGATCTGTTTTTTTACAGTGACAAGACATTTAAAACTTAAAATCCATTGATGACAATACTGTTGAATCATTGTTTTTAAAACCTGATAGTCACAATCAACACAGAGATGAAAAAATGATTCTATGTCATCATAGACTCTCAGTTAACAATCATTACTTGCCAACACATACTTCTTCTAACATAGATTTCTGAAGATCTCTTATTAATACAGACCATCCTGTCAACACAGACCATTGGTGGTTTGACTGTATGCACTTTTTATATCTGTGTATTGTTTTAATATCATATTATGTTGTGTGTACTTTTGAGAATATTTTTATTGATTTTGTTTTCACATATTCATATACATATATTTTACATTTCAATGATATAATATGATTCACCAAAATATTGCTAATACCTGAATGTAATATATGCAAATAAAAGAAAAATAGCCAATTGTTTAAGCTTTTGGGTTTTTACTTTTGAAAATATTGGATAGTTAAAATCTTTATTGCTTACAAGAGTATATTTTGTGACCCTATGTCTGTCCGTATGTCTACGTAAAAAATGGATTACGAAGTGGTTAGTAGACGAGGAGATGACAGTATAGTGATGGCATGGCTAAGTGGTTAACACATCAAACAAGTAATCAAAGGATCACTAGCTGGGTAGGTTTAAACCCTGTTGGGGACAAGCCTTTGTTCCCTTGAGCAAGAAACTTTACTCATTGCTCAGTACTAGTTGTGTAGAAAAGAAATATTATAGTTAGGACATGAAGAATTGTTACTGTCATCTACATGTATGACTTTATACAGAATTTATTTTTTAGTTTGATTTTGTAGGGAAATATAAGCTTGTAGACACTCTCCAATCTATTCCTGGAACCAACCAGAACAGAGTAAAATGGTAGTGTAAAGTTTCTCGCTAAAAGAAACAGTGGCTTGCCCCTGACATTGTTAGAACCCACATGGCTAGCAATCCTTGAGTTACAAGTCCAATGAGTTAACCACTGGGCCATACTGCCAAGCTGCTCGACAGTCACCTTTAATTGTATTTTGATTTAGGATTTTTTGTAGATAAAATAATAAATTAACAGACAATATTTTAGCAGACGACAATTTTCCCAACATGCAAAAGGTTCAAATATGAACAAGGAATTCTATTCCAATGTGGCCCTTTGTTTGCTGAAGCTGTAAAAGATAAAACCAGATTAATGGGCAATATCCTGTATAAGATTGTTCATAACTTCACATGATATTGATTGACAAAATACATTATTAAGCAATATGTGGGTATTTTAATTATTTCTGCATATTTCAAAACAGGAAAATTTACTAACTTGAATGGATATTGAAAAAAACATGTCAAAGTTTTTATATATCAATAAAACATGAAAAAAAAATCAGCAAGAAAATTAGATAATTTCATTTTATTGAATAATATAAATGGAACAAGGAGGCAAGATACATTTTGTGAACATACATAACACAGTTATAACATATAAATATGAGGAAACTTATTAAAAGGAGAAACATATACATTGTATAATTATTATATAATGAACACACCCAGTATAAAACTTGTTACAGACTATTGAGTTAAAGGCCCATTATGTCTCAGATATGCTTTTATTTTTATTTCTGAAAACCTTTCTAATTTTTGGTAATTTGTTACAGAACCCCCCCCCAAAAAACAAAAAAAAAAACAAAACAAAAACAAACAAAATAACCCCAAAAAACCAACAAAAAAACTACTAACATGATCTAAATTTTGTATAAAAACATTATTAAACAGGTGTTTGAGATTTCTAGAAATAAAAAAAAAATGGATTTCTGAAGCATAATATGCCTTTAACATCAGAAAGGGTCAATGAGTACAGAGATGAAAATTTATACAAACTTATTAAGATAGTTCAAACCATGCCTTATCAGACCTGACCCCCTTGAGCCACTGTGACATTTATAATCGCAATAAATTAATGCCACCGTTATAAAGCCAATCCCTTCGCATGCAGTTCCCATACAATGCAAACAAACTCTACACTGTTGGCTACCTAATTTTAGCATTTTTAATATCTGAACTTCCTTAATTTACAAATGGACTGTTCCATATTCAAAGAAGTCCATAATATAAATTCAGCAGGGTTAATGGGGTGTCATCATACAACACGGGAACAATATCTTATCAATCTCTACAATATAACAAGTCTCTATTGTATTATAGGTTTTGAAAATATAAATTACCCTTTACTTCTATAGAACTTTATACTGTATTTTAGGTATTGCGAACATGCATTGAAAATGAAATGAAAATGGCAAGACTTTGTTACCAGTACAGATTTAAAGTAGCCCACATGTCAGTGCACTTTGATTTTAAGCTGCATGCCTACAGATGAGCATAAATATTTCCAGAAAATCAAACTTATATACTCAGATTCTAAGAAAAGAAAAAGATTCAAGTAACAATTAACATGTTATGTGCGAGTAATGATTGATTTTGCAGTATTTATCACCATATTTCTACTGTGTGACTAACACAATTAGGGCTATTTTTGCATATTTTGAGCTATTTTTGGTAGTTAAAGTGGATTGTTAGTGTCATTTGCAATGTGCATGTTACTTTATTTGTTCACTACACAGTATTTTACTGCTAAATACATTTGTAATAATATTCATGAAACTTAGCATGAATCTGAGGGCATGCTGCTTTAATTGGCACTAGAAAGATAAGCATTTAAATAAAGGCAGCAATGGTACAAACTATACACATGTATATATTTTCTATATAACTAACTAACATTATAACGAAATTTAACATATAACTAGAAACACACAATTTTATTAAAAAAACAAACAATAAAAACAGATTATAAAAACAAAGAACATATTTTGGCTAAACCAATGGGAAGACATAGCAAAGAATATTGCAGATGTCAAAAAAAAAGGGTTTAAAAATTATTCATATTTTAAAAAAAAAATAAGAATGCTTTGGGTCCCTTTCAAACTATATTTTTAAATAAATGAATCTAGCTACAGTTTTTTTTTTGCCCCCCTAGGCTAGAAGATCATAAAAATCAACCCCTAAACAGCCCTCTTACAAAAGCCCAAAGTTTGGGCCCGTTTGGCGGGTGGCTGTTGTAGAAGGGGGGACTGTTGCTTGGAGGGGTTTTAAATAAAATCAAATTAGGCCTATAAATTGTTGAATAAAGTATGTAGCTTTGCCCCCAGAATAGTGCAGATGATATGGTCTGCATAAAAACCCAACAAATTTTTCAAATATCCGTCAAATCCAATATAAAAATATTTGGATTTTAAGGGTATTGTTTTTATTTTTTTCTAATTGAAAATAATTGTAAAAAACACATGGACCTATAATTTTCATGCGCAGGCCTGGTCTTAGATCCATGGCTGGTCGCAAAAACATTATGTGGTTTTGTCATGGCACGGCTCATATTTGTCTGCAATGATGGTATGGTAATTTACAGGCTAAAAATTACAAAACAATATTTCAGTTCATACTTATCCAAACATATATATATGTAAAAAAACGAATTTTTGATGAATTTTAATGGATATTTGCTTTATTTTTCATTATTGCCAAGACCATTATGGGATAAAAAATCTTAACATTTATGAAATTATAAATAATATTTCAAAATGAAAAATAACAACAAAGTAATCTTATTTTGATTTAAAAATAATACTGGAATACTAAAATAACAACAATTATTTTAAAATAGCTACCATTTAATGATTTATTACTTAAAACAAAGAAAAAAAATCAAATTTATACACAAAAAAAATACAGAAAAAAATGCAGTGCTTACTTTTGCTAAAGGGTATAAATTCACATTGAACTTGCTGATGTCAGTTCAATACTTATCTAGTTTTATTAAAATCATATTTAAAAAACAAACAGTTATGAATATTAAAATATTAAAACATAGTGACAACAGATTTTAATATTTTTTACTGTACATTTAGGCAGTTATTGCTTTACAACTATTGAATTATAAATAAACATTGTACATATACCTTACATGGAGAAATAATAATAAACATTTACAGCACCAAGTAGCCACAAATTTTATATTCTAGGCATACATGTATTATATGTTAAAGACACTTTATAATTTAAACAGCCAGAATCTGCTTATAATAAGTATGTCATTACCCTATGTTTGTATAATGCAAATGACGTCACACCTTGCCATACAATTTTCACGGAGTGGCAAAAGCGGCACAGTTATGTAATAAAAGATATATTTGTAATGAAGAGGATACAAATGACGTCACATCAAATTATAAATATGCACGGCAGTGCCATACAATTTCCACAGGAGTCGCAAAAGCGGCATGGGTAAGTGATAAAAGATATATTTGGTATGAAGAGTACACTGAGCATAATTACAAAATTCACACTAATTCTTTCTTGTTATGTGACATAGTATATCAATAATCTTGCAAGATCGGACATGGATTAAGTCGTCATGCAGCAAGATTTGTGATATCGTCACATTCCGAATTTACGTGTGTCCCGTTTTAAAAATAAATGATATGATCTTATACCTGAATTTAATGGAAACACTTTGTCATACCTGCATGTATAAAGAATGTCAGAATTGTTTTTTTGTTTTTGTTTTTTTTCAATTTGTTTTTTAAGTAACATATTCATTGTTAATTATTTATATTTACCACATCTTATTTGACATTATCAATTTAAAGTCAGTTATTAACAACTTAAAATGAAATCTTAGCATTTACATCACAATAGATTAGAACAAAACAGTTAATACATAAGCCTTTTTTTAAAAATAAATTTTAGTAACAACTGTTTAGAACAGAACAAGAACAGAACAAGAACAGATCTCTTCACTTCCTCCCAAGGTACATGGCAATACAACATGGGGTTAATAGTACTGTACATGCAAGATCTGAATTTTTTTCTTAATGACCAGTTTTTATTGGCAATACAGAGTACACATGATTATTATGATAAATACAACTTCGAACAAGATGTATGCATACAAATAATGCTTCCTGAGGATTATTCTGTATCAGCGAAAAGCTATCATACCTGTTACATTATTATATTGCAATAACCAAAAGGACATAGATATTTGTGTGCCCAGTCCCACTTATTTTGTTTTTTTTCAGCTGTTTACAAAGTTCATGGGGTCTGGCCAAATTTTAAAACATGGGGCCCTCTGGTGGGGTACACAAAAATGCTTTTTTGGCAAACCCCCCTGCCCGACTCAATTCTGTTGGCGAATAAATTTTTAGCACTTTAAATATCTAACTCCCTTAATCTAATGGACTGGTCCAAAATAAAAGCAGGGTAAGAAAAATGCATGCAAAAAAACTCCTGCAGGTTCCTGGTATGTGCTCATAAACAGATACGATAGCTCAATGCTGATGCAACAATATTCATATTTTTAACATCTTGTCATTTTTCTCTTTCATGATAACACACTTTTATGCATGTACATCCAGCAACAAGAACTGTCTATTTTCCGTTCTTTACTCTCCTGCCATTTTGGCAATTCAATGCCTTTGCTGCATTCCCGTTTATGATTTTTCCGTTCACTTTAATGTTGTCATTTCCATTCCATTCTTTTTCATCCTCGATATCCTCGGTGTCTGATTCTTCACCGGAATCCTCCGAGTCACTCCGGACATCTTCGACCTGATATAAATTTATGAAAATAGTATTTGTACTGTTACTATAATAAGTATAGGTTAGAATTTATCAGTATGTATTTACAAAATAAAATTGGTTAGGTGGGGAAAAGCCGCGCGACCAATTTCATTTTGTTAATACATACTAATAAATTTTTTAACCAGCTTAATGTTTTAAATTATTTTTAAAAACAGTTGATTAACTAGACTGATTAACAGTTTGCCGATTTACCAAAGTAAATGTGTTACGATTCATCTGAAATACTGCAATCCTATTGGACAAAAAATAATTTCAATCTCTACAATATATAATATTATGATCTTGATCAAACAAGATTTTTATGCATTATTTAATCAATACTCATGGACAGACTAAATTAAACCCAGATTTTGCATTATTCATTAACTCTCATAAATAAACCAAGATTTTTAATTTTTAATTAACTCATAAATTATTAACAAACTAAATCAAGAATTTACATTTTGACACTCATAAGCAGACTTAATCAAATGTGACCCTCGTGTGACACATAACCCTAAAAATTCTCACAACATATTTTGACCAAAGACAACAATAAATTATAAAATTTAATATTGTATTGTAAACATTTTTTATATATAATATTACAAATTCTCATGTTTTTTGTGTGTCTAAAATCATGCAGAGAGAAGAATCTAAGGTCTTTTGGTGCCAAAAAATTCCCCAGAAAAGTCATGATAATATTATGTTCTTTACAGTGCCAGAGTTAAATTATCTCCCCCCCCCCCCCCCCAAAAAAAAACATCAACAATTTTTACAGTACATACATTGCCTTTGACCATTTTTCTGTAGACGATTCTGAAGATTAGGTAAGTCCATATAAAATGTAGCACCAGCAGAACGCACAGGAAGAAGTTGAAGAACTGATGAGCCCCAAATGTTGAATCTATTAACTTGATGGTGAATGGTTCAACCAAAGTACAATACAACACACTGAAAATATACCAGAAATTTATTTAAAGCTGCATGCATAAAAACCCCAACAAAGTCAAACATGTAATAAATGCAATAAGAAGTAATAATTGTGCAAATATTCATAATCAATGCTTACCATACAGGCCTCGACATTAGCGGTGGTCCGTTGGTCCGAGACCACCTGATTTTGGCAAGGACCACCTAATTTTAAAATGCACTGGTCCGTCGGACCACTTGAATTTTCTGGTTTGTGCAAGGCTCTTTTGGGAGAATGGCGATTTTGTCAAAAACATGTTATATATATTTGTTTAAAACCATTTGTCCTATGAACATGTATATGGTTCATTAATAGATTAATCTGATAAGTTAAAGAAGGTCTTAAATCATCAATAACTTTCATTTTAAGTCGCTAAAATTTTGTCTATGCAAGTTAAAAGAGTTAAGAATTTGTGATATTAAGCTAGGTACAAATTGCATTCAAATGATGCTAGTAATGATGCATCGTCGGATTACCACGGTGGAACCTTTAATATTTATGTTATGTTACATGTTAAACACACGTGGGTATCCGACGATGGTAATTATGATATTGTATGGGATACCGTATGAACTTTCAATTTCATATACATGAATAATGGCAGCAAACTAAAGGAACTTGAGAAATACATCAAGTTATTTGCTAGTTATCTTTATTTCAACTTTTTAACGCTAAGAGATCCATTTTTCCAGAGTTAAAATTACTTTTTTTTAAATTTTTGATAAAAGGTTAAAAATACTCAATGTAAAAAATAAATATCAACCAACAAGCAACGGGGCGGTAAAAATTCTGTATTCATAATAAATCTGTGAGAAAAATAAGCTAAACTATAGTTATATATAAAGTTGTTTTTATTTTTTATCCTTTAGATATTTCCTTGTTTTAAGATAATTTATTAGTTTTTATTAAATTGTTAATCTATAAAAGATACATGTAATTATCATGATTATAAGACGTACCACGTATCAGCAATGTATATTTGAATAACAGTAAGAAAAAAACCCAGACACAAATGGTTTCACTATTCCCTAACTTGAGTTGAGACAGAAATCACTTCAATATATAAGTTAACACAAATAAGAGCCCTGTTGTGTATTTTTGAATGAGCTATGAAAAAACAACAACAAATAACTTCACGACAGAATACCTACTAACTTGCTCTCAGATAAAAATATATATCTAAAATGTCTGTTTTCTTTAAAGCTTAATAATACATCTTTGTCATCAATTTTAAGCATACTTTTTTCTAAACTTACAGTAAACTGATATAATAATAATAATTGACCACTTGACTTCTGGAAGGACCACCTTAATTTCAAATCTAGTGGTCCGGCTTACCACCTGATAAAAAAGTTAGCGTCGAGGCCTGCCATAAATACTCAGTGATAAGACGCATATCTTATTTCAAAGTAGGGAATGCGTCTTATAAATGAGATTAAAGGAGTAACTAAAGAAATCTTAAATCTGATTCATTTTAAGACCGAAAATAGGCATTCCAAGTCATTGGCGATCACCCACTGATAAAGATATCTCTCATTTGTATAACCAAATAATATCTCCTTAAGTTAAGACAGCTGGATATCTCATAGAAATCAATGCCTTGTAACATTTCACTATAACAAAACATAAAACAGCACAAAAAGGTAAAAGAAATATGGAAAGGCCATGGTTGTATTTTGTAATCAACATATAACTTAATGCACAACTTTAGTGTCATGAATTTATCCAATTATTGAAAAGAGCCACTGCCACTTATTCTGGCACATGATCTTTATGGGTTCAGATTAGGTCTAAACTCTTAAAAAATTGACCTGGTTATCTTTAGTGGTGTAAATAACCAAAAACTCTTATGAAAAAAATTGACCTGATTATAAAATTGACCTGGTTATCTATAGTAAAATGATTCAAATAACCTCTAAACTGACCTGTTTCTCTTTAGTGGTTCAAACCATTACCAAATGATTTAGTTATCATTAGTATCTCAAATAACCTCTAAACCCTTACCACTATGTCGTAGATTAAATGATTTAATAAGTATGTTCATTGTTAATCAAGTAAAAAAAGTTGTAAAAAAACTTAAGATTACTTACAAAAATGGATATATAATAAGTCTGGACAACACCCACACCAACAGGAATATACCAAAGAAGATATCTGTTGCTGCTTTATTCTTGGCATAAATGGACATCTTGGCAAGCTGTAAAATAGGGTGATCAAATTGTCAATGTAAAATTATCAAATTTTGTCACCAATAAATAAGACTTTGAGTAAAAAAACAAACTGTCATAAAAATATGGAAAAAAAATATGAATGTACAGGTTACAATTTAAAAGGTGGCTACTTTTACTTTAAAATCCAAAGTATCCGATAAGTTAAAATAAAAACATAAACACTTACAGCAAGCCAGGTATCTGCTGCATCGTGAACAACAAGGACGAGTGTTCCTACACGAACAAAATTGAGAACCCACGAGAAATACATCAACACAATCGTGGCAAAATGATGTATTATCATCTCCTTGAAGTCCTGTATGGATAAACATTACAGATGTCAAGTGAAATGGTGTAAAGTGTAATGTAAAACTATTTCATTTGTGTATAAATGTAATGTAAAATCTTATCATTGGTGTACAGATGTACATTAAATGAAAAAATCCTATCATTGGTGTTCAGGTGTCATGCAAGATTGCATATCATTTTTAAATGTACCTTTTGTTTAAATTATAAAACAGCTGTAGATTTAACATTTATATTATAGAGTATAAATTTAATGTAAAGTAAAAAAGGCTGTACAATAGAAAAAAAGTAAAAAAGGCTGTATAGAAATAGAAATTACATATGTCTTGTTAACAACATACACACAAGTTCTGTTTAAAACAGCTATAGTAATCAATAGATGTCTCACTGAGTGTAAGGGTAGTTTTAATGTATATTATTATAAAATAGCTGAACAACAATGTAGCTTCAAACACTTTACACATTTTCTACACAAATAGATCAACATAAACAAATATAAATTCCACTGATTAATCTTTTAGACAAAACTTGCAAAATATAATGATTATGGTTAGGGAACAAAATTAGAGTTCATATTGACCTTGTGATTATGGTCAAACAAAATATTGATATATAAATATTGACTTGTGATATGAAAAACAACTAGGATACATGCATCGCTTCATGTTAATACAATAAATGTAAGAAGCATACTTTTACCATGAAAACAAAACTTGAGAACATATCTTGCTCTATGGTAAGATAGTAAAAATTAGGTCCATATACCTTGTTTTTATGGTATTTATGATATTAGGTAACCAAAAAAAATTAGGTTAAATAAATTTTATTTATGGCTAGACGAAAAAAATTATAGTACCTGTAAGTACCTTGTATTTATGGTCAGAGAATAAAATTAGGGTTACGTATATACCTTGTGTTTATGGATATAGAATAATATTAGGGTACATACCTTGTATCTATGGTAACAGATTTAAAAAAATAGGGTACATACCTTGCGTTTATGGTCAGAGAATAGAGTAAATACAAGACTCCAGTAGAAAGCAAGTTCTATCATATAGTGCCAATACATGTCATTACTAACATGCTGAAATATACCAAAGTACAGATGTCAATTGAATAATCATTTACAAATAAACCCAAAGTACAGATTTGATTGATTAATGATTTTCAAATATACCTAAAGTACAGATGTTGATTGATTAATCATTTTTAAATAAACCTAAAGTACAGATGTTGATTGATTAATCATTTTTAAATATACCTAAAGTACAGATGTTGATTGATTAATCATTTTTAAATATACCTAAAGTACAGATGTTGATTGATTAATCATTTTTAAATAAACCTAAAGTACAGATATTGATTGATTAATAATTTTTAAATATACCAAAGTACAGATGTTGATTGATCAATCATTTTCAAATATATCAAAGTCCAGATGTCACTGATCAAGAAATCATATTAAAATATATTCAAGTTCATGTACAGATGATTGATAAATCATTTTCAAATATAACGAAATACAGATGCCTTTATATGGGTAAATCAAATCAAGTAAGTTGTTGAAATAAAGGGAAAATATATAAAGATGTATTTGATAGATGTAAGTACATTATTTTCAAATAAATTTAATAACAGATGTGATTATTTGATAGATCTGTTCCTGTGAGATGCTGAAACAAATCAAAAGTACAGATGTCCATAAATTAATTTATAAATAATTAGTGCAGATGTGATTTTATTTGACAAATCATTTCCAGTATTAACCTTAAAAATAACAATGTACAGAGGGCATTGATTGATAAATCATTTTAACTATAACAAAGTACAAATAATTCCATTTCAAGAATGTTCTGAAAACAATGAGACTGAGTTAAGATATATTTGTTTTTTAAATAAATGTTGAGTGCAAAAGCCTTTGTTTTAAAGATAAATATTATATATCATTATATATGTATGTGAACATTTGGATGAAACTAAAACAAAACAAAAGTACAGATGCAATTCATTTATAAATTATGTCCATATTGGGAGTATTATTTGATAAATCAATTCCAGCAATGAGCTAAAATATCAAAATACTGTACAGCTGCCATTGATTGATATATTATTTCTGAATGTACCAGAGTATAGATACATAAATGCCAATGATAAGCTGAAACAATGCAAGAGTACATGATTATGGCTTTAATTTATAAATAATTTCCAAAAATACTATTAAAAATGATAATTTGTTAAAGCTGTCCAAGTCCGATCTTAATTTCAAAGTACAGATCTCTAGGGGTTGTTTTTTTTTTCATTATATCAAATTAGTACAGTGTACTGGTTAGTTCATATTGTCACCTTAGTGCAGTAACAGGTTAAGTCCTTCTAAATTAAATAGGAGTTAAACAGTTATTGCACTAAGGTGTATAAAACAGCATCCATTTGGTAACATATAGTTATAAAACTAATATTTAATTTAATGTACAGTATTCTTTATTAAAAGTCTGAAACAAAGGGGTAACTACCTGTATTGGCCAATTTCTCCAACACTCAATAGTGCTCCAAAAATATTCTTTCTGAAATAAAAAATGGCAAAACTTATTGACATTCATGTTTTCAGTAAATTTACTATATAATATATAACCAAAATATCATTTTGATATTCAAACCATACAAATTTTGTCATAAAGCATTACATGGAAAAGAAATCATTGTAATTATGTTAAACGTAACATCCAAGTGCCTAATATTTCATAACATGTTGCCGTGGAAACAAGAATCCAAAAAGAATGACTGCTATAATGAAAAATGTATGTGACATACAATGTTTGGTCTGCGTGTTCATGTGCTTTTATAAGTGATACACTTGAAAGGCATGACCAAAGAGCTTTTGCTTACATGTTGCCATGGTAACAAGAGTTTAAGAACAATGACCTACATTTTATGAAATTTGAAAATGGGACCTTTTACTTTCCTATGATTTTTGTTTGGTCAAAATGTTCTCAACAATGTACAGAGATTTTCTGCATAGAAATTGCCTGCTTACACTTTGAGAACACAGCTAGATTATTTCATACTTTCTTCCTGGTGAAAAGTCACTATTACAAAGTTGTTTTATTTTTCATATACATGTATAATCATAATATCAAAGTGTTTTTTTTTTGGAAGAAAACAAAAACAGTCTTCACCTTTTGAATAATAAGGGACTTCTAAGGTTTTTACAAGGTTTTCATTTGACTTGACCTACTGACCTATATGACATTTAATAATAGGTGACAACCTTGACCTTCACTATTCATTTATATATATGTACATGTATATTCTCTACAGCTTCTTGTTATTTTTTTTGAAATCTGATCCATAGCAGCGAGTGTTGACGAGTGTTGTTTTTGTTCCCATGGCAACCAGCGTTCTGCACGCTATTAAGAATTATACTATATGGATTCATGCACGGATATTTTCTACAAAGTTTTATCAACATAAACCATTTGGTATTTTAAACATGTATAAGAAAGCTGCTAAACAGTGGTAAGCAATTGTAATAACTCTAATGTACACTCTTTGCCAGGCGAGTTAAAATATGTTAGCATGTAACAAATTAGGCGATGACTGGAGTTAAAAATAAAGCTTAACTAAAGTTTTAACCATTATACTTACTTGCCATAAATACGTCATGCCGTAGAAGAAAAATGCTGTGTAGAATAATAGGTGCCAACTATATAAAAAGATAAAATGTGAATTAAGGACGTGAAGGAAATAAAAGGAACGGTAAATGATAGTGCATTGGTATAGAAAATGTCCGTAAAGATAATCGGCAATGTCCGTAATTCTAACACTATCGGAATTTTTTCTATATAAACAAAGAAGGCCCGAAGCGTGCATTATTCTACAACAATGCACTCGCCGTTCTTATTATCTCCCTGTGTATTTTCACATTGAGGGCGCCATTTTGTTTGAAAAATCTGATAAATAAAAACAATTTTTTGTCGAATTTTGTTGTGAAAACTATCTAGAATCAAAGAAATTATTCTAACTAAGAAAATAAATCCGAACACCAATATCTTTTATTCAGTCGTTAACGCTGTACAGACGTTTAAAGTGTTGTTTACGTGACGTCACAATGTAGCGCCAAACAGCACGTGCAAAACAATCAAATCAAGTACGCTATTTTAATGTCGCAAACGAGTTAAGTTTTACATTTATTTCAGTTTCAATAATTTGTATTTCGCTTCAAAAATTATAGTGAAATAAAATAAACAAACAAAGTTTTATCAACGTTTTCAAAATTCGTTATTCTCAAAATGTTTTTACACACGGTAGATTTAACGACAGTTTTTTTCAACCCACTGGAACAGCCTTAAAAGAACGTTTCTATTGGAAACTCTGAGGCAAAAACAAATTAAACAACCAAACATAAAGTCCAACTTTATTATAATAATCATATTTTTCTTGACGTGTTAGAATGGAAATAGATATTAATTCTTCGTGCATTAATGTATAATAATGCACGTTTTTCGTTCAAATGCTTTGTAATTAATCACTCAGGCCTATCGGCCTTCGTGATTATATTACTACGCATTTGAACTCAAATCGTGCTTTATTCTACAACAATGCACTCAGAATTGACATCTATTTCCTAAATATAAACGTTAATTTCCGTAAGATATCTACGTAAACAAATGGTTGCTGGCGCTGAAAATCTGATTGGTAGCGTTTATCTTTACATATATTGCACGGAAACTGCCGATAATCGTTACGGGAACCATATGTGCAAATTAAATTAAATCAAATTATGTAACTAAATGATAACAAAATATCATCGAAGGATAACGAATGACTTGACAACTGAAAGAATGAACCGGTGATCCTCTTTCAGCAAGGAATTCAGGCAGACGACATACTGCTCTTTGTGTTTCAACATCTTTTTATCAGTCCTCTTCTTACATAACATTTAATTCACTTTGGATAATGACCAAAAACCAATTAGCCAGTATCATATTTTTTTGTGCTGATAATGGATACATGGATGGAAGTGGGTAGTTTTACTGTAGTGCGGCACTGCTAACCAATTCCCATAAGGAGTTGGTGCGTGTCGCTAACTTACCTCTGCAACTAGAGTCAATTTGCCCGCTTTATAAAGTGATTAAAGAAAGTCAACGGGGAAACAATTATATAGAGCATAAAATGTATTAATATTGTCATTGCTAAAATGATAAAGATAAAAATTAAGAGTTATTAGATAGATGTAAATAATTTTATTATGGCTGCAGTAAATAAATGTGTAATTGATTGACATATCTTGTATTATACATTTGTTAAAAAGTTTTCGACAGGTTATACGTCTCCATATGAATCATTTATAATCGTTTATGCTGGGCAAAATAACCTGCCAATATATTTATCATATAATTAATTATATACATGTATTTTTTACATGTATATATTTATTTAACATATAAAAACTATCATTGTCGTTATTGAGAACCATACCTGCACTCCCTGAACTTTTGTATTGGTGTTGGTGCGTCAACTTTTCGTCTCCTTCTGAACCAAACTTCAACCTGTTTCTCCGACATATCTATCTGTTTCGACAAAATCTGTAAAACGGTGTGTACTTTTCATTGAATATCAGTAAGACCGGTGTACACAATGATCAGGCATTCTAATCAATGGTAAACCAGTCTATAATAACCGGAAGTTACACTGCCATATCAAATCTGGCGCTGAATAAAACATGGGTAATAAAATGAATCGAATTTTCATGAAACGGAGAAAAGGAATCTCTTTCTTTCATATTATTTATGTATAAAGTATATACACTGAAAAGACGGTCGGAGATTTGAACATCAAAAAGTCTATTACCTCGCAGCTCGTGTTTTTACCGCGTGTCCAATTGGACATGAAAACATTTAAACTATGTGGAAGACTTGAAACGTCTTACAAGATCAATCGGAAAATTTGTAGCATAGATTTGCAAACAAAACCAATACATAATAAAGACGCATTTTGCAAAATCGACTTTTTACCGACAAAAGCACCAATAACAAAAAATAAATAAAATAAAATAACAACAGTACAATATTAGACAAACGATGATGTTATTTGATTTGTTTAATATTGAAACCAACTTAAATATCTTATCAGCACGTATGAGATACATAGTATGGTTCACACAAATGTGAAGAAATAATTGCCTTTCAAAACTATTTCAAGTTTCAAGTTTATTAAATATATCTCAGTATGTAATATACATTATAACCCAGTCTAGACAAGGACAATTCAACCTTGACACCGGGATTGTGACCTTGACACGAGGAATGAGTTAAATGCAAGTTGAAACAATTACGTTAATTGACTCCTCCAGGTTTTCTGTCTAGTCCCGGGAGAAATCAATCGATACACATCGCAGGCAGTATTGTAATTGGTTTGATACTGACTGCATTGGAAAGTGTGGCAATTTACTGCTAAACTCCTAATCACTTAAATATAATTATGGAAGCGAATAAACATATAAATTTCACCGTGATTAGGTTTAAAGATTTTATATCACTGTTTCATTTTGCCAGAGTAAAAACAAGGAATAAAAAATGTTAGTTGCTATGCCTAAAATAAAGCTTCATAAAATATAATATAAGAGGGCCGATCGCTAATGTTGTAAGAACTTGGGCCCAACCCTTTTGCTATTTGTTATTTCGAAATGTATATGTACATGTACATATTAGCAATAAAATATGATTAAACTAAAAATAAGAATGGAAAACTTAAAATGTGCGCTTGAAATGCCTAACTGGAATGCGTTTATCTTGCGAAGATCCCCCCGCTCCTTCACTTACAATACTAATGGTATTTCGGGTGAGCCCTTAAAACCGAGGTTCAATGTATTGGTTACCATACTCTACATCACGCATTTAAAAGAACCAGAGTCACATATGCAACTGGAGAATTGCTATACTAGTATTATGCATTACCCCGAAAATAGGAACAGTTAAAGACTTGTAATGCGTCGCAATATAGATTTTCGCACGTGTCAGTTAATAAATCGAAAGAAAGAGAATCGACCAACGTAAAAACTAAATGGTGACGCATCCAATACATGTATCTACATTTACTATTAGACACTATGCTTATATCAACGTTAAGTAAAATCTTAACAGTGACGCATCCAATTTCTTGCATGTCAGACAGGACTTTCTACCGTTTACACCGGTGCTAGAAAACCCTGTCTTACATCCCAATCCCCATGTAAGACAAGTCTCGTGCCTTTAATGACGTCATTGCCACGCGCCTTTTATGAATTGCGTTCTTCGGATGATGTCATTTAACGGTTATGAATGAAGTTGTAAGTTCATAGCTACTATACGAAAATAGTGCCTAATGAGAATATCAGTTTTCGTGATTTCTGTTCTGAAATTAATTGATATGAAATATGCAAGAAAAAGAACGAAACACTGGCTGTCGGCAGAGCCTCGTTACCATCGTAAACAGTTACCCTCGAGCTAGATATTCCAGTCTGTACCGGCAGCCAGTGTAACATTCTTATAGTATACATTAACTGTTAGACACCGCGCTTATATCAACATATAATCTGAACAGTGACGCATCCAATATCTACATAGACCCAGTGTTTTATGCGAACATGGTACACACATAAACTGTTAGACACGGTGCTTCTATCGACCTATAATCTGAACAGTGACGCATCCAATAGCTGTGGTTTACAATATTGTACAATCACCACATCCATAATCCACTATTCAGGAACTTTTCAATCATATTTGAAAATGAAATATTGCGCAAAAAGTATTACTGTTTCACATGCAAAAGTCTCTTTATGTAGAGTATACGTTGCCCTAGCAACATCAAAAACATAGACAAAAGATTTTTTTCCTGTTGCCACGAATATTGCTTTATTTTCATCATCACAGAACTGGATCGATTTGCAATTTCGTAGAAGACTTTATGATATTCAAAAAATTTATCCATCTGACAAAGCTATTATTTTCGTTATTGGTTTCCGTTTTGTTTTTATTGCCCATTTCGCTTTTTGGATAGTGCATTTTTAATGTATATAACAGAACAGGGCATATTAAAGATATTAATTTAGCAGGTGGTAAGTGTTCTTCTTGAATAATCTTGATTTTAAAAGACAGGAAAAGTTTGCATTATGACTCGCTAATAAATAAATAAATAAATAAATAAATAAATAAATAAAAGTGCCACGTACATTTTACTCGTATATTTTAATTCAAAACAAACCAACCTCATTTTCGGGAAACCAAAATTTAAATTTGCCATTCCGTTGCTTTCAATTACGAAAACTGCATAGTTTTCAAAGGACCTAGCAAAACCATGTTAAAATGTGACAGTGGGTATTTAATTTTGCAAGAATATGCAATAAAAATAGCGTATTTCTCGCCATCAAAACACAACTATTGAACTTCCGGTTTCAATTTACATGTTTTTTTTCAAAGAATAAAGAACATGTATTACATTTCTAGCTCCCTTTCTGCTTTTTCAATGTTTGCCATTACTTTTACCTTGATTTCATTTTTGCTGTATTTCTTGCTTTTATATGCTGTTTCTAAATCTTTATTGGGTGTAACGTGAGGTTTCTTTCTGTTCGGTACACCCAGCCAAATTGCAACAGGCACAACAAAAATTCTGTAAAATAACAAACAAACATACAACTCATAGCATAAACAGGAGACAGCAAATTAGTTACATTAATATTTGTTAAAAATTCGTACAGAGGGCTCACATTCGGATTACCTCGCCGTTTTCCGTAAAATGGCGGGAAATGACAATTCGAGCGGTTTGAATAACTATGGCATAATATTAGCCGCGCCATGACGAAACCAACTTAGTGTGTTTGCGACCAGCATGGAGCCAGACCAGCCTGCACATCCGCGCAGTCTGATCAGGATCCATGCTATTCGCTTACAAACATTATTACGATAGCGAACATCATGGATTCTGATCAGACTACGTGGATGCATAGGCTTGTCTGGATCCATGCTGGTCGCAAACGTACTATGTTGGTTTTGTCATGGCGCGGCTAATATGATTATCACAAAGGCCTACACAATCAATACCGAATAAGGAATTACTTATACATGTGTACACGATACTGTGCAGTAAAAAACGGCGCAGTGCCTCATTAGCATATTATATAAATGGCCAGCTAATATGTAATTCATATGCATGTATTTGTTGTCAAAGAGAGATACGGCTCATTTGCATATTGAAAAATGTCATTTTGACTGTATACATTTGGTTAACAAAACATTCGGCATTATTTATCCATTCATTTCTTACATGGACCTCAAGTTACTTTACTTTGGCCAAATTTCTGACCAGCAATATGCCTTTTATCTTTGAAAGGCATAATTGTAACAACAACAATTTGTACTATTAGGCAAAGCCTATACAATTTAAACATGGGTGTGCCACTTTAAATATATAATACATCTGATCGAAAATAGTGCATTTTAATGGTTTAAGGACATAAAATCTAATACCACGAGAAAATGGTTGATTTTTCTTTTGATTGGGTTTTTATGTCGCACCAACACTATAATTGTCATATGGCGACTTTGCAGCTTTAATCATAATGGCGAAAGGAGACCTTAGGTGCACGAAGGGGCACCTGGTTTAACAGTACATTTTATGGGTGCTTCAAGTCACGTGAGTAACAACGGTTTCTGCACCAAGTCCTTTATAAAATATACAAATAAATCACTTTTTGGGCCATAACTACTTACGTTTCAACTAAATATCGGACACCAATAAGAACCACGCCCAGGAGAAGGGCCCAATGTATGTCTTTTAGGTCTGGAAGATAAATATTTGCTCCCGGCTTGTTAACAAGATCTTTCCATCCCCAGCTCCTGTTTGCTGGAAACCAGAACGCTTCATCCCAGAATGCAATTGGCCAACTTGACGCCATTTGTTTGGTCTTTAAATTCGAATACTAAAAGTAATAAAAAAAAAGATAATTATTATTGCATTCGTGCGACGGAATATCTCATGATGTTTCAGCAATATTATTCCGACGAGGAGTTCCTGAGAGAAGTAAATGTGCCATTAATTACAATGTCAAAGGCCCACTATTCCTAACAAATGCTTGTATTCTTATTTCTCAAAAGCTTTTTGATATTGGTGTACTTTTATAGTATCCAAAAAGTTGCCATTGGCCACTTATATGAACCATCTTTTTTATCTGTTGGTTTTTGGCAATTAGTACAGTTATAGTGAACAATCATTAGTCAAAATACTACTTTGCTTTCATTTTGCTATTTTTTATGTCAAATTATTTCACATTTTTCTAACACCATTATTAAGACAATACATGAGCCGTGTCATGACAAAACCAAAATAATGGGTTTGCGACCATCATGGATCCAGACCAGCCTGCGCATCCGCGCAGTCTGATCAGGATCCATGCTGTTCGCTAACAAACCCTATAAAAAGTTGAGAAAGTGATAGCGAACAGCATGGATCCTGATCAGACTGCGCGGATGCGCAGGCTGGTCTGGATCCATGCTGGTCGCAAACCCATTATGTTGGTTTTGTCGTGACGCGGCTCACATGTACAATGATAACTGGTTTCATCGATATTGAAAGATAGAAGAAAATTAGCGTGGTAATCATTTAAAAATAATTGTCGCGATTTATATCGTCACTTCTTTAAACTATAATTAACACATGTGTTGTAACTATTTTCTTAGAAACATGTTTCAGATGTTGCCAGTGGATCTCCAGCTTTTACAAGACATACGTGGACAACTGTACATAAACAATAGACAAAACTGATGTAGAAATAAATATTGTTTAAACCAAACAATGGACAAACAAAGGACACCGGCATTAATCGGATCCATAAATTTTCCCTTTCTATACAACATACATGTAGTTCATATATTTTAATATTAACACTACACCTGTTTCATATAAAGATGACAGTCTAGGAAAGTTGGTCAGCCAAAAGTATTGAACTTATTTAGAATAGTATGATGTGCATGCTTCTGGCACTTTTTGTTTAGAAATAATCATTTTGCTCGTGTAATTTGTTACCTGAATGTTATTATTTGTTTCTTAACAATGAGCAATAGGAACCCATTTTTCATAATGATGATATTATAGATTATTAAGAGTTTCCGTATTTCTGAAAAAGAGCCCTTCTAATAGCAAAGTTTTAGTTCAGAAAATGTCCATAACTCATAAACGGCACAGTAAATTTTTTTTTGTAAATTTTGCATACAGGTGACATTTAAGGCATATAACTGTTGTCAATTTTACAGTTCCTTACACAGTGCCAAATAGGAGTGGTCTCCCTTAATCGCGAGGCGTGATTATCACGGACACACAATTCCATAATACGTAATTTGGTTTTCAGATGAGACATAAAAGAGCAGCACAGCATAGACCTATATGGCAGTTTCCATAGCCCTGATAATTGGGCGGATATTCTTTTTTTCTAGCGCATGTGTAAAACGGTGATGTTTGACATTATTGTTTTAAAATTTAAGTGTCTTTTTACAAGCCACAAAAATGTTTAGTCATGAGGTGTTACCCTAAATTTAAAACAAACGCAGTCGTTTTATCTTACCGTCGGATGTTTTAGGTCGTCGGCATTCTTAAGAATGTACATACATGGAGATGTCAACTTTGAGACCTCTGAGTAATATTATATGAATAATAGATGAATATGAACTTGTAACATAAAAAACAGTTTGCTATTTAACTAAGATTTTATCATATTTCATAATTCAAAAATAATTTTGGTAACAATTTACATGCAAGAACTATTATAGCTTCGGAATGCTGAGGCAATTTGGGTTATATTATACGTTACTATAATATCCCACTGAGAATCGTTTTAAAACCATCAACAGCACCACGGATTTATATTTGTAATATAAATCCGTGACAGCACTTAAATGTAGGATCGTATTTATAAAAAAAAAATTATTACAAAAATGAATATTTAAATTATATTTGGTAAACATATTTGGATATATCATATATTTTAGTTTTTGTTTTTTGTTGTTTTTTGTTGTTGTAGTTTTCTGTTGCTGTTGTTTTTATGTTTTGTTTTGTTTTTGTTTGTTTTTTTTTTTTTTTTTTTGGGGGGGGGGGTCAAGATACGTTACCAACAGATACGCTCGTACATCATTTGCGGTTACATAACATGTAAAAAGTATGGCTATTTTTACCAATATCTTGATAATGTCTTACTTAATAAATCGGGAAAAAATAATAAAAGAACAACATATTCAATCAATAACGGTAAACTGTAATATTTACTGTTAAGTCGTGCCGCCCAATACGGACTTGTTCTGAGGTTCAGATAACTTCCTGAAATCCTGATTTTATTTGTAGCTTACGCCTAGGAAGTACATTTTACATAGAAGAAAACGCACGTGATCAGTGAATCATGTGAAATTTTGCGCGTGTCATTCAAAGCACATAATACAACACATAGGTTGATTTCAAATATCCTTGTAAATTCGTATTTTAAAATGTAGTTTTATCTAACTTACCACACGAAATGCTGTGTTAGCCTTACTAATCGCTGTACTTTTAAACAAGAATTACATTAATGACAAAATTCCAAGAATTCAAAGAACTAGTCGGCTGTTCAAGCTCGGTAAATCAATGGTTTCCATGTTTTAATACGGACGAAAATCCTTTTATCAGTGTTTATCATCGAGTATAGTAAGAAAACCTGATAACATCCTGGTTGCAATACGAGATGATAATCCTTTGATGACAACGACTTAATAACTTCCGGGCACACTGCGCATATCTCAAGTAGTGATAATATAAACATGTGCGCTTACAGCACGTCCGGGTACAAAATGGCTTGTTTTCTATCAGTAAACTATAATATCACAGACATGTTAAATATTCGGTTATTTAAATGTCAAAGATAGTAACGTTTAATGTCATCACGTCACAAAAAAATAAAAATAGACAATGCAACAAGAAATTACATTTTAAACTCCTTTATACGAGTACTGTAACTTTATAAATTCAAATTCATGACATATAACAGAAAAATAATGTTTGAAGACTATTAATAAAAGCCAAAGTACTACGTTAATAATGCAGGAAGTTGTATTAGGGGTAATAAAGAGTCCGGGATGCGGGGTTTAGTGGGACTTCAGATTTATATTATACATGTATATAGAGTTCAGATAACAGATTTTTCACCTGTTATAATAATATCAATTATCCGTGTCCTCTTCTTATCTTTAAGCACCGACTATTTCTATTAATTAACATCTTTAAAAAATTCACTCCCTCCGAGTGACAGTTACCCAAGGCGTTGACTTATGAATTAGCCCCCTTAGGCAAGATCGATCTATTCGATTTTATCACGATAAAAAAAAAACGTCTTCATTTAACGTACTGATATGACATTAAATGTATTACGATGTATTTACTGATAAAAAGGTGGCACTTGTCAGTCAAACTGTGTTAACACATGAGACACATGATAAAACACCATAAACTATCACTGAATGATTTGCAAGGATGGTTAAAAAATACCTTAAAATAAACCATGTATATATGCATAGTATTTAGATAAATCTACCGCCCATTAGTACCATGTGAGTATTTTATCTGTTAAGGACCATAGACTGCATACTTGAAATTAAGTCTGAAATTGATTATTAAAATCATTCGATTTACATAAATATGGTCAAGACATGTGCTAAATATATAGAAATATTTTATATTAGGCTACACATCGATACCTATACTGGAACCCCCCCCCCCCCCCATCCCGATTTTCCCTCCAAAACAATATGGAAACTCATGTTTTAATGATATACAGAAGCCCTTATTAATTAATGCAGACACAAGGTGTAAAAAAGAAGGCGGGGGGGGGGGGGGTGTGAAGGCTATATTGTATAAAATGAAGTCAGTTACAACATTATTAAGTTATGAGCTCTACATATATGTACGTGTGCGTCTTTAATCAGTCTAGCATTTTTATAAGTCAAACTTTTTTTTTTAAATTTGCTGGTACTAACAACAAATTGATCACCAACGAGAGATGTGTTGGTTCCGCGCATGCGGAAGGTCTTAAGACGCTGGTTCTAGTCAAAGATGATAAAATATGCCAGTCGAGAAACTACATCATTACTGTACACACAGATTCAACAGACTTTCATGATATGTTAGAATGCAGAGGGCATTTTTATTATTCTACAAACTTGAAACTGCCACAATTATATTCGTTAAATTGGCGATATCTTCAGCTGAAAACAGATGTATCTACAGTAGGCCTTTATTACTAGCTGCTAAGTTTTTACAAACAATATGTAAATAACTTTACCTGTACAATAACTCACTAAGATATGTGATGTGATTCATAAAATGCGTGTAATGTAAACACCCACTCTTAATATGCCGGTATTTCTTGTTTCCATGAAATCTTATTTGCACAATGATAAACCATTATTATACTGTATGTGAATAAAATACCTGAATAAATGATAAATCCTGTAAATCCAGCTAATTTTTTGATAAACGCCTGGTTAATTTTACATCACCGAACATACACCATCAATACCATGACACACTTATGTTTGTGAACAGCTTCCTATTTATAAACATTACTGACTTAAACTTTCGATCCAATATCTTACACGCCTACAGCGCTATCCGCAAATTTGATATCGGTACGACATCTAGAGCAGTATAAAAATAGCATCTCTTGCGAGGGTTTATCAATAAGTTCAGAAACCCTGAAGCTCTGATTTTACTTGGGCTTTGCATACGTATTTCCCTACGCTTGAACGCTGACGCTCGGATTTTATGTCGGCTTTGTATATAGAGGATATTCAAGTTTTTTCTATAAATACATGATTTATTTTCATCGAGTGGTATGAAAATAAATATTTCATGAGTGGCGGTAGCCACGAGTGAAATATGGTAATTTTCATGCCACAAGATGAAAATAAATCATGTATTTATAGAAAAAACTTGAATTTTCTGTTTATTATGTACATTTTTCTCTTTTTTGCGATAAAATTTGAAAAACTTTCCCTTAAATTTTGTGTACTGGTAGAATTTAAAAGAAAGTAGTCCGGCAAGACACCAGTGAAAATACGGAAAATATGTTTCACTGCAGTGAAAAATAAATTTTTACAGTGAAAATACGGAAAATGAAAATACGCATTTTATTTCATCAATATTTCTCAATATTTCATTTATAAGTATATAATAAACAATCATACAGTACGTATGCTTGATAATTTTACAAGAATAGGGGGTTTCTTTGCAGTTATCATAAATAGGCAATATAAATAACAAATTTCGCAACCTTGCGAGGGTTTATCAATAACTTCGTAACCTTGACTTTTTACGCTGATGCTCTTCGGGTTTATATATAATACGTATTTCGGTACGCTAATTTTAAAAGAATAAGGAGTTTCTTTAAGGCAATAAAAATAAAGCACACTTGCGATGGTTTATCAATAAGTTCAGTAACCTTGATGTTTACTGTAACCCGGACAAATTCATTTCGGCTTTGTATAGAGTACATATTTCGGTACGCTCGATAATTTTAAAAGTAAAGGGTTTCTTTCAAGTTATCATTAATCAATATTTTATTTGTTATTTGAATTTTGTCCCAATGTATTAATTAATAACCTTCAGATTCAAGCAAATGTAGATTCGAGCTATTATCTCTGTGTCTACTGAGTATTGTAGTAATTTTGAAAGAATAAAATTTCTTCTTTTCTTTTTCTTCCCTATGAATATAAAGAAAGTTGATTATTGTACTAAAAATACTGGGAAATAACTTGTATAAGCAAATAAGCCAGGCCTAATTTCTGTTTGGTCCTGTGTCATTAAAATAAATCTGTTCCAAAACAACGAAAAACTGACAATAAAAACTAGCGTAGCCATATTTTTAAAGGAAATTCGTGTTAACCAAAAAAATAAAAAATGAATAAAAAATAGATAAATAAATAAATAACACATTTTGACACAAAAACATCTTTTGACGAAGAATGCGGATTGTAAGTACAATTGTGACAAATTTTCTAATTTTATCATTTGCTTCATAGTATATTCATTCTATGTTAACTTGAATAATTTGGTACAATGCTGTTATTTTCTTCTGCATTAAAATAATTGAAATCTGTGACAATATTTAATTGAAAATATTTTTGGCATTGCGGAAACCGTAATAACTATACTCTTACCTTCGGAGAACGTAATCTTGAAAATACAGACAGTTATCACTATCTAGGCTTAACTTTTGTCATCATCCGGATCTTTCATTAACGATCCTGTATGCTGTGATCAAAGTGAAACCAGTCAGTCAGTCAGTCAGTTGTTTATGCTTAATGAGGGTCCATCCGCCCGTAAGGGCACAAAATGCAGCTTGCGCTGTCGAGTACGGACCCCGGACATGTCACCAGTCATGCCCTTAAAGAGTTAATTTTGAAGCACAAAGTCGTGACAATTTACCTCCATGCAATTTCCACGGAGTATTAGCCAAAGATATGAATTTTGAGCAAAAAGTGGAACGGCGGTCAATGAGAACCTAAATGTACAGTAACCTGTGACAATAGGAAAGGTGTTTAGCCCTGAAAAGGTCTGTTTGTGCCAGCTATAGGCCTGCCTTTCAAGCCGTCTAACCGTGCTAGGGGCTCACGCACCCTAGCACACACATTAACATTAAAATTGGTACTAATGGATGGAATTCAAAATCTAGTAGAAAGAAAATTATAATGTATAAACTCTATTATAGATACTATTATTAGCCAGCTAACACTGGGTATAAACATCTATAACCTGTAGACTAATTAATGCATGTATTATCATTTATAAATTTAAATGCAATTCTCATCCATCAAAACTGTTAGTCTTTAAATACAGAAATGTTGTAAGTCACATTATATCCATATACATACACATGTATGCACATTACATTAATAATTTCCAAATTCCATTAAAAATAAAAATAGCATCCTATTGATATTAACATTGGTACTTGGATGGAATTCATAATCTTGTAGGAGGAAAACTATAATGTATAGTATAAAAGTAAAAAAAAATCTCAAATACAAACTGTAGTCTATATCATATAATAAAGATTGAGTTGTTTGAGTGTCTAAACATTAAATGCATATCTCTTACAGTGACAAATACTGTCCCTCTTTTAACCTTCCATTAGACTTTACTATATAACTAACTGCATATACATATATATCAGGTGTTTAAAATTGATAACTTCATGATGTTATCCTTTCTCTGTTTTAATATATGGACATGAGCACCTATATACATAGCTTCAATTTTCTACCTTTCATTTTTACCAAAGGTTATTTTATTAACAATTTATATACAAACACATAGAAAATAATAATTAGTTTCACATAGTGATTAGAAGATTCCTGTAGCAGAATACCTGTAGGTATGTACTAACTGAACAAACTCGAAAAATCCAGTCTATAAGCCAGTAAAATAAAAATCTATCAATATTCACTCCTCAGGGCCTCTATGCTTTTGATGACATTACAACTGGTAAAAAATAGCAATACCTATGTTAGACAGAAAAGAACAAATAATCTAGTAAACATGAGTTACTTCCCCTTAAAATAGAGAAATTCCGAAACCCAAAAGAACACCTTAGACAGCAAAATTATGAAATGTTGCAGGCTCAGTTTTATTAAGCAAAGTAATGGTAGAAAGTATTTATTAAAAAGTAGATGGTAATATGACAGCAGTAATTGCAGAAAATCGGATAGCTTTCAACATCCGGATACTGGTACACTTTGTAAAAACAATCATTCTGTGCAATAGATTAACGTAATATGGATAAAATCAATAGGATAATCGTTAACAACAGTTCCATTCCTATCCTAATACTCATTTGCAGGTGAACGTTCTTCTTGTAGGAAAATTTTGAAAAATATAAATGAATGAAAGAGAATACTGCATCAATGTAGACCACAACGATATTCAAGTCCGTGTTTTATTGTTGCCAATAAAGCTAAGGGACAAGCTGTTAAAGTGAGCCTGCAATTTCGTGAAAATAATATCACAATGCACATGCTTTTTACATGAAGTTATTAAATACAAATATAACAACATATTTGTTTACTTGATTTTTACGAATCAAAATAAAACTAATTAACACAACATGACATTAACTGCTAATAATAACAGCTCCTTCCATAGGCCAAAATAAAAAGCATTCCATAAGAGACGACGCCGCTCACCGGCGTCGCCAACAAGTGACAAAAATCTCATTGGACAACTGACAAAATTTTCTTACATTTTGTTAATTTAGCAAGATCTTTACAGTTCATTTGTTCTTCCAATATGTAGGCATTTGAGTAACAACAATATAGTATTTCTTTAACATTTTTGTTCTGGTTTTTTAAAGTATCACATTCAAACAAATAATGAAATTCATCACCAATTACGTTTTTGTTACAATGAGTACAGATTATAAGAGTTCTTTCTATGCCAATATGGCAGCCCTTTTTTATAGGGAGATGGTGATTTATAGTTCTAAATTTGCAAAGATATTTCATAAGATCAACTGGTAGTTCGTCTAAATATTCTTCAAACTTGCATTCCTTTTTAAACATACCATAAACTATAAACATTTAGGGGATGTATCAACTGTGCTGTACCATGTACATATATTGTTAATATATATATATATATACCTGGTTGTACCATTCATGCAAGAGCATATTTGGTTTTAACAACATTATTGAAATGTAACAAATTACTAACATTCTGATTTATAAAGTACTCAGAAAGTCCTGAGTCATCAAATTTAATGTGTTCTTGAAAAAGTTTTTCCTGTGAAATTATCATACATTATCAGAATGTAATCTCGAGGAGTATACCGTAAACTATTTTACATATTTTCTAACTTTAAATGACAAAAGTTTTGACCAGTTGCAAATCAATCTCGAGTAAATTTGTATAGAAATAGGTTTTACCCGTAATTCACCGATTAAGACACAGAATTAATTAACAATACCAGAGACTTTTATTACAGATAGCTCTGTGATAATACTTTAATTGAAACGTCAACATTATATCAATGTTTTTATACCCATACGTTAATTTAGGAGCAATCACTGAATCAAATAAATGCAGTTGAGCAGAAATTGATAATCCTATTTTTCGGGATTATTAGAACAACTGAAATAACATCAAATATCGAATGCCACTGCATGGTTACTGAAATAATTTTGGACCCCTGCCCATTCTTTACTCATAAATTTGTTACATGGCCCAACAAAGACCGTTTTATTAAAAAAAGACAAGATTACGCCTAACAAACTTAAAATAGCATCGACAGTCACAAAACCACTTAAAACTATTGAAGCTCTTCATTGCTATCAGCGTGCAAGAGTTGTGTCCCTTGAAACAAAATACTCTCTCAAAAGGAGAATCAATCTAAGTCACAACAAAAATATTTTTTATGTCTCTAAGATAGGAAATCAATTGAATTTATCGATGTCGGGAGATAATGACGGTGAATTACCGGCTCTGTTGCTTGAAAAAGAAGTTTCTGATCATCTGAAAGAAACGTGGAAGGGCGAACTGGTACTGTATTTCGGTAAAGCGTCGACTCGGTCCTAAAACAAATCGGCACGAGTCAGCTCGACCCACTTAATACGAGTATTTAAAAGCTATGAAACAATTAATAAAATCATGCAAGAAGTATTTAAAATGAGTTTAGAAAAAAACGTATAAGATGGCGAAACACAATTTTTCTTCCATTAAAATATGTGAAGTGCATGCACATTTAATTTAAGGAATGACAGACTATTCTCTCCCTTACCAGTTCCTCCCCCTGACGGTTCTCTCCCAAACCGTTTCCTCCCCTGGCGGTTCTCTCCCAAATTTGAAATATGCAGACAGTTCTCCCCCAATTTTATTTTTATAAGTTATCATTTAAGTTTTGACTTAATCTAATAATATTTCTTAATGAAGATTATTAAAAGAATGTGTTTAATATTAACTGCAATTTATGTTTTATGTTTATCAGCTAAAAAGTGTTTGTAAATTTAACACCTTATTTCAGTATTTTAATCCTATCAACACCTTTATTGTGAGAGATATAGATCATTGTACAGTGATTGATATACACCTGTAATTATGTTAAGGTCTACCTTGTGATGTTAATTCATTTGTTAAATAGTGAATAAGGTGGAAACAAGTATGTTTTAGAAAATAAATAAACAACAACTGGTTATGATGCAAACACATTCCACATTTACTTTTTTTACGAAATTGATTTAAAACATGTAGTCATTAACTTGAAACAATATATAATACCAAATAACTAATATAATACTTATTCATCAACACCTTTTCACAGCTATTTTAATCTAATCAACACCTTGATTCTTGAGTAATGAATTAATAAACACCTCAATTATCTCTGACAGCAAATTTAAAGCATACATGTGTGTATAGAACTCCTTTTTTCATTAAACTTAAAATTTATTAATCATTTTTTGCCTATATATTTCATTTTTATTTATTAAAAAAAAAAAAAAATATCTTATGATTATCCTAATCAAGTAAATTATTCATTTATTATTTTCAATGACCAATGACTAAACACATTAAAAAGAATACATTACATCTAATTAAAAAATCAGAATTATTAACTAATATCATTGATCAATTATTATTATATGTTAAAAAAAAGTTTTTCTAATTCAATTTATATCAATTGATAATAAAGTTACAAATTTATTAAACATCTAAATACTTCAATAAAATCTATTTTTTCTAATTTATATCAATTGATAATAGATTTACCCATTGATTTATCATCTAAATACTTTAATAATAATGTAATTATAAAAATAAGAATGGGGAGGAACTGTCTTCTTATATGCAAATATGCAGACAGTTCTCCCCCAAAATAGGGAGAGAACCGTCGGGGAGGAAACGTCAGGGGAGGAACTGGTAAGGGAGAGAATAGTCTGACTACCTAATTGAAGGAAGTGGCTAGCCGTACAGGCCCGTACGGCTAGCCAAAAGTTCTACCCGTACGTGAGTCACGTACGACTAGCCTGGACACACTGTATTGGCTAGCCGTACGGCACTTTTCAAAATTATATGGAAGTCGAAAATGCATAATCTATCTTAATAAAATTAAGTGTCAAAGTTTCATGTTATAACGTCCTTAATTTTCATGCTTATGATTTGTATGAAAGATAAATTGTTAAATCTGTTAATTAAGCACATGAATCGAATAAATAATGATCGGAGGGAAATAAATAAATAAATAAAAATAATATTTAAAAAAAAACGGTGAAAAGGAAAAATAATTTAATAATGCAAACTTTCCTTAATGATGGACGATGGACAAACTTCTATACCGTCGGTAATTGACGCAATTATCAGGGCCCAACAACATTATTGTCGGTGTTTTAATTTTTTTTTTGTTTTTGTTTTTTTTTTCAATTTAAAAATTAAACTTAATGAAACAAAAAAGGATTATTATCAAAATTTTGTAAACTATTTCAATTGATGTTATTTAACTGCAACCAAACGCTATTTTTTCTCGACGTCTTGAGATAACAAAGTACATTCTTTACTGTAGCCAACACGTCGATTAATCTCTAAAAAGTAAACATTCTTGACTAAAATCCTCGCTTAAAGTCTTAATTAACATATGCACTTTCGCCTTCAATATATTTTTGAAAAGTGCCGTACGGCTAGCCAATACAGTGTGTCCAGGCTAGTCGTACGTGACTCACGTACGGCTAGAACTTTTGGCTAGCCGTACGGGCCCGTACGGCTAGCCACTTCCTTAATTTAATGATTAAAATAGAAAAAAATAATTAGCATTATAATAAATTATATAAACTTTATTAGTTATATAAATATTGTAAGAATTGACCATGCACAGTTGGAATAGGACCAAGCTGATTCACACAATTTAGTTTTAGGGCTAAGTTGACCCTGATTCCAGTATAATAGAAAATCATCCATTCAAAACTGAAATTTGATAAAAAAATCAAAATGTTTTAAAAGTCACTATTTTGTTATGTTCATCTGCATAAGGTACTATGTTTTTTTATTAATATTATAATGTTTTTTTGTTAATGTTATAATGTTTTTGTTATAGTTTGAATAAACTTTCCACTAGTCCTTTTCTCTAAATAATTGTGGCGTCCATGGCCAAGTGGTTAAGGTAGTTGACTTTAAACCACATGCCCCTCAACACTGTTGACAGGGACTTTCTTTTTGAATGTGAGGAAGCTATCCAGCTAGCTTACGGAATGTCAGTGGGTCTACTCGGGTGCCTGTTTGTGACTGAAATAATGCATGGAGGGGCACATGAGGCTTTCTTCAAGCTGTAAATCCGCCATATGACCTTATCACCTATACAGTGTTGGTGGGACATTAAATCCAATGAAAAGAAATCTTAAATCAGTTACTGTTAAATCATTATTATTCGTGGGGCACAAATTTTCGTGGTTTTCCTGGGTAGGTCAATCCACAAATTTAAGATCCGATGAAATTTTATCCCAACAAATACTTCTTGCCATGTCTCTATTCTATATATTACAAACATGCATTGGCGCTTTTCCGCCGATTTTTATGTAATGAATGCCCAGAGGCAAGGATTAAATTTATTGACATGCGCTGTGTTATACATAAAGATATGTAAATGGGGTAAGTAAAATGCGCGGCAATTAAGTGTAAGATTACTTTGCATTAGGTTATTTATTTTTATTTTTTTTTACAAGAAATTGAAAATCCACGAATTTAAGAACCCATGAATATGCCCGTTTTGATAAAACCACAAAATTCATGCCCACGAATATAAGTGAATTCGCAGAATCTCTATATGAATTTTAGCATGATCCTTACAGTATACTCCAGCCTTCCATTCAAACTTTTTCTCAAATAAATGAAACTATATGTATTTTTTTTCATGTTACCCAGGAGATTGAAGATGAAGATGATGAGAATGGTGAAAGATTTTACAAACTTTTAAAACAGCTTGGTACCCCACCTACTGTTACCACATTACGGGTAAACACACTGAACTGTGATAAACATGTCATAGCCAAAGAACTGAAGTCAGAGTTGGAAAAGGTAGTTCTATATTTAGATTAAGTTTCATTACTAATATATATATTAGTTGTTGAATATAATTGTTAAAAAACACAAAATAATACTAATATATTTATGATATTTTTAAAGCAAGGACATTTAACCAAGGTAGCTTCATATAACTTTAACGTAGTTTGTCTATTACCGGTAGTTTACAATGATTGTACTGTAGTAAGTTATTTATATAGTGTTTCCTATTTACTGAAAATGAAATAAAATATTGTTATTCAATTCTTTAGAGACAATATGTCAAAAGGGGACATAATTCATTATTTGTTCTTATAGCACTGTTTTGAAAGAGGAGGGAATCATATTATTTTCTGTTATATAGCAATATGTTGAAAGGGGAAGTAACCCACCACCAATAGTTCTACATCCTGCACTAAAAGATGTTCTGGTCATACCAAGCAGGGGACCTAATGCCAAACCAGCGGAGGTAAAACCTTAATGTTTACCCATCAAAATTTATAAAATGGTCTTGATTTTTCTTTGAATTCCATAACTATGCCATTGTTTATTATGTGTTCTAGGGATTTCAACATCAAAATGAACTTTCTGTAACCTACATTTTGTAGCTAAATAGCTTTGTCACATGCAACAATGTGGATTCCTAAATCGGGTTTGAACCAACATTGTTGAGTGGTCAATGATTTAAAGCCAGCTACTTTGGCTACCTTAACTACCCTAAAATAACATTAATATGGTGGTAGAATGTAGAAACAGTCACAAGATGAAGTGTATTCTGCCAGACTGACTATCACTTAACAAATACTGGCTAATTAATTTCAAGCTAGCTTCTAAATTGGAATGATCAAGTCACATAACTGTTATTGGCAAATGTTTGAATACCTTGAAACAAGAACAACACTGTTACTGCCAAATGTTAAAATGTTAAAACAAGAGCAAGGTAGAGTAGCAGTCACTTTGTTTGAAATACTTACATGCATCATGGCTCTTGCTTTTAACCCTTAACCTGCTGAATTTCTTAAGTTGACTTGTCCAGCTTTCATTTTCAGAACTGTCCATTATATCAATTTTGGAGATATAAGATGAAATTTTTAGTAACATGTAAATAGTCAACAATTAGAATGCCAATCTTACAATATCAAAATACAAAAAAATGAGCTATCAATAGTGTATATCTTGCTCAGACTGCATAAATCAAAATAAGATAGAAATTAAGAAATACAACATGTCAACACCAGTGCAGGTTCAGTAATTTAATAATCAACCGTTTCAGTTCTAACAAACCTTCATCAGGATAGACTGCAAAGATGTAGAGGCTGGCTTGGCTCTATACTTGTTAGAATGGTAAATCGCTTTTGGTTCCAGCAGGGTAAAAATCAACTTATTTAGCTACTATTATGTTATATATAACTATTTTGTTTCAGGTGAAGAAAGAGGTGATCGTTGATCTTGCATGTGGTATGGCTGTGTTACGAGGAGCTGATGTCTTTGTGTTGGGGATCATGGCAGCACCTGCTTGTATAACAATTTGTTTTTATCACATATCATTAGTGAATTTAGAAATATTTGAGATACAAAATTCAAATAAATAATTTAAAGGCACATTATGCCTCAGAAACAAATATTTTTTCCTTCTTTAGAATAGGCAAACATGAGTTTTTATAAAGTTGAAATAATGCTTTTAGACCATGTTAGATAATTAATACCTTTAGAAAAGTATTGCTCAGTGTGAAATTATTTGACATAAAAGTAGCAGAAAGTAAACAAAGTAGTATTTTGACTTCCATACAAAATACTAAATCGCTTTAACTAATTTCCAGAAAGCAACATAAGCAAAGTATGGTTCATGTAATTGCCAATGAGTATCTTTTTTGGCACCAAATATAAAAAGCCTTTGCGAATTAAAAATAAAACATTTTCTTGGGCATAATGGCCTTTAATAATTTAGTTGTCTTTAATTATTTCTATTCTTATACATGATTAAATTATTAGTTTAATTGTTTTTTTTTATTGTTCTTCTTTATGTGACTAGATTAGATAATATTAGTGTTGGTCCAGGTTCTATCATTCAAATAATTTGATATATAATGTATGTTAGATAGAGGAGTGGAAGGCACATGATTGAATAGAATACAGTTCTTGCATTTATCAGACTATGAAACTTATGGTATGTTATAATTTTCAGATTTATCTACTGGTGATTTAGTAGCTGTATATGCAGATCTCGACGGTCAATGTCGTAAAGGTCTGAAGGAGGAGTACAAGGAACGTAAACTGTACGTAGGGTGTGGTGTCATGCAGTTAAGCAGGGATCAAATATTTTGTTCTGCTCAAGTTAAACTCAGGTAACTTTGATATAGACTCGCTGAATTGTTGATAGTATAAACCTATTATATTTAATTGGCCATGTGACCTATACTGTGTTGATTTGATGTAAAACCCCAAAAACCCAAAGAAAAACCCTTTTATTAACACCCTTAGAATTCCTAATCCCAAGAGTATCTGTCTTGTTCTAAAATTTTTGAGGGAAAACAACATGTATAATAATGATTATTTAGTAGTTGTCACTTAAATATATCTTCAGTGATGTTATTTCTTTAAAATAAAAATGTACAAATAAACTTAGTTAAGACATTCCCATAAGTAGCCATTTAATTGTTCATACATGTATTTCTTTATTGATATTATGATAAAAGAAGTTTGGTTTTTAAACTTTAGATCTTGTCTTTGATATACTTTATTTAGAATTCCATAATGCTTAGCAAAAATAAGTATTAAAGTGTATAAAGCTATATATTTGATGTCATTTCTGAGTTGATTGTAAAATTCTTGTTTATATTATGATTCAAATGATTACAGAATAAATAGAATTAAAGAAATTTTCCAGTATATTTTATTGCCAACCCTACTAAAAAAGCAGCAGAGTATTTTTGCACCAAGAACATTTGAGCCGCGCCATGACAAAACCAACATAATGCGTTTGCCACCAGCATGGATCCAGACCAGCCTGCGCATCCGTGCAGTCTGATCAGGATCCATGATGTTCGCTATCAGTTTCTCTACTTGTAATAGGGTTTGTAAGGGAACAGCATGGATCCTGATCAGACTGTGCGGATGCGCAGGCTGGTCTGGATCCATGCTGGTCACAAACACATTATGTTTAATTTGTCATGGTGCGGCTCATTTTATTCTGTTGTTTATGTACATGTACAATGTTTGTACATGTATATTAAATTACAAAGACATGTTACAAATCTAAATTTTTCAAGATATGACTTTAAGGTTATTAAACTTCATTTAATTTTACTGTTTTTTAGATAATTATGAAATATTTTCTTCAAATACAGCTTTATATACCTTAACACAAAATTAACTTAACTTTAGTTATTACCCTTAAAAGGCAGCTGTTACTTTTACAACAAGTTGATTTAGATACCTATTAATATGTTTTAGGGGTGTTGGTGTTAAAATGACCCATCCGTTGTATGAAGCACCCTGTATAGATGATGTCTTGCCAGATCTAGTGTTTGCCCAGAACCTTCCGTCCATAGTGTGTAGTCTAGTGTTAGATCCCCAACCAGGAGAAACTGTGATAGACATGTGCTCTTCCCCTGGTAGGTATTCCAAAAATATTTGTTTTTCAAAGTGGAAGACTGAAAAAAACTTCACAGAGTGGACATCCGGTTTTATTCTGGGGTTTTTTCCCTGATTTTTTTGGCATGTGACATTGTTCACTCACCTTTTTTGACATCAAGAAATTATGACGTCACAATGTTCATGCCAAAAAATAAATCTGTAAAATTTCTGGAATTTTGTTAATATGTTTTGTAACATGAAGTTCTCTGATGTTTATATACTTGCAGTGATCATGTATGTTTTTGTTTTCAATTGGGCATATTTTGAATATTGATATCAATGATGTATAATACCTTATGACAATTGGTTGATAATACGACTTTTTTGATGACTATTTCAAATATTACATAATCTTGAGTTGCTTATGTTTTTAGCTTGTTTATTTGAAGAATAGGGAGAGCTATTGTACTCACCCAGGTTTCAGAGTCATACTTTGGTTAAGTTTTTGCTTCCAAGTTGATATAACCAAAAGTTGGTTGAAAGTTCATAAACTTATTTGAGAGCATAATAGGAGGTCTTTGACCAAGGCCAAACAAATAATGAAATTCATCACCAATTACGTTTTTATTACAAAGAGTACAGTACAGGTTCTTTCAATGCCAAGTTTGCGGGAGATGTACACTGTAAACTATTTTACATACATGTATTTTGTAACTTTAAATGACAAAAGTTTTGACCAGTTGCAAATCAATCTCGAGTAAATTTGTATAGAAATAGGTTTTAACCGTAATTCACCATAAATGTAGATCAATTAAGACACAGAATTAATTCATAATACCAGAGACTCTTATTACACATAGCTCTGTGATAATACTTAAATTGAAACGTCAACATTATATCAATGTTTTCATACCCCCATGCTTCATACACATACGTTAATTTATGAGCATTCATTGAGTCAATTGAATAAATGCAGTTGAACAGAAATTGATAATCCTATTTTTCGGGATTTTTAGAACAACTGAAATAACATCAAATATCGAATCAAATGTATTGTTCCATTGCATGGTTACTGAAATAATGGTGGACCCCTGCCCATTCTTTACTCATAACTTTGTTACATGGCCCAACATTGACCGTTTTATTTAAAAAAAAAAAAGGGACAAGATTACGCGGCATCGACAAAACTACTTTTAACTATCGAAGCTCTTCATTTCTATCAGCGTTGTGTCCCTTGAAAGAAAATACTCTCTCAAAAGGAGAATCGATCTAAGTCACAACAAAAAATTTTTTTTATGTCTCTAAGTTAAGAAATCAATTGAATTTATCGATGTCGGGAGATAATGACGGTGAATTACCGGCTCTGTTGCTTGAAAAAGAAGTTTCTGATCATCTGAAAGAAACATGGAAAGGCGAACTGGTACTGTATTTCCGTAAAGTGTCGACTCGGTCCTAAAACAAATCGGCACGAGTCAGCTCAACCCACTATTAACACGAGTATTTAAAAGCTATGAAACAATTGATCGAATCATGCAAGAAGTATTTAAAATAAGTTTAGAAAAACGTAAAAGATGTCGAAACACAATTCTTCTTCCATTAAAATATGTGAAGTACATTTAATTTATTTCATGAATGATTAAAATAGAAAAAAATGATTAATGCATTTCATAATAGGAGGTCTTTGACCAAGGGCAATAATTCTAACATGGATGTTGTTGGAATTATGGCTCTTTTTGAACTTCTTTTCTTTTTGAAATTCTACACATTTTATATTATCCAGGCTCTTGTTTTACTATAAAGCACTGAGAATTGTTGAGCTAGCTGTCCTACCAACATCTGTTGTTGTTTATAGTTGTTTCAGGAGCTTTGTTTAGAGTTTAGAGTTCAACATTTTAAAGTTATCTTTTATTTTTATAGGTGGGAAGACAAACCATATTGCAACCCTCATGAAAGATGAGGCAAGTTATGTTTGATATAATTATATTAGGATTTAATTTAAAACTCACCCTATTTTCTATAAAGTATTAATTTTTTAGATATTTCTTTTTTTTCTATAAAATGATTTTGCTTGTCAGTCAAAGTGAGGAATTTCATGTTTCATAAATATGAAAAGAATTGAGCTAAATGTTAAAAAACTGCATCAGTATTTGCTTCAGGGATTCCAATTAGTTATATTAAAGTGCAATTAGCTTTAAGTATGCAAAGTATATGGAGAGCTGTCCTACTCAACCTGGCATCATGAGAAAAGGTTCATAACTCTAGCACTCATATCTTCATAATCATCTCTCCCTTGAACATGGCTTTAGTATGAAAAATTGTTATTTTTGTGCCCCCACGTTAGTGGCGGGCATTTAGATTTACCCTTGTCCGTCCGTCCGTCTGTCCGTCCGTCCTTCCGTCCGTCCTTCCGTCCGTCCGTTCACTTTTGTGTCGCACGTAACTCAAAAAGTATTTGACCTAGAGTCATGAAACTTTACAGGAATGTTGATCAGCATGTGTAGTTGTGCACCTGGGTATTTTGGTCGGGATATTTTTAGTATTTTCAGAGTTATTGCCCTTGACTTAGTAAAATTTTGCAATTTTCAACTTGTGTCGCATGTAACTCCAAAAGTATTTGACCTACAGGCATGAAACTTTACAGGAATGTTGATCAGCATGTGTACTTGTGCACCTGGGTATTTTCGTCTGGATATTTTTAGTATTTTCAGAGTTATTGCCCTTGACTTAGTAAAATTTTGCAATTTTCAACTTGTGTCGCATGTAACTCAAAAAGTATTTGACCTAGAGTCATGAAACTTTACAGGAATGTTGATCAGCATGTGTAGTTGTGCACCTGGGTATTTTCGTGTGCATATTTTTAGTATTTTTAGAGTTATTGCCTATGACTTAGTAAAATTTTGCAATTTTTAACTTGTGTCGCACATAACTCAAAAAGTATTTGACCTAGAGTCATGAAACTTTACAGGAATGTTGATCAGCATGTGTAGTTGTGCACCTGGGTATTTTCATCTGGATATTTTTAGTATTTTCAGAGTTATTGCCCTTGACTTAGTAAAATTTGGCAATTTTCAACATGTGTCGCACATAACTCAAAAAGTATTTGACCTACAGTCATGTAACTTTACAGGAATATTGATCAGCATGTGCAGTTGTGCACCAGGTATTTTCGTCTGGATTTATTTAGTATTTTTAGAGTTATTGCCCTTCACGTAGAAAATTTTTGCAATTTTCAACTTGTGTCGCAAGTTTCTCAAAAAGGATTTGACATAGTCAATAAACCTTATGGGCAGGTTGCTCAGCATATTTTAGATTTGCACCTGGGGTTTGGCTTGTGGATTTATCCAGTATTTGTAGAGTTATTTCCCTTGACTTAGTAAAAAGATTGACAGAACAGTGTCGCGGTGGGGGCACCCGTGTCCTATGGACACATTTCTAGTTTACTCTATATGGGAGTATAGAAATTTCTATAAAAATTGTTTCTTTTTTAATTGATATAGAGTATCATTAATGTAGATTTAAGTTAACTCAGTTTACTATGTTATTTCTAAAGTATGGTTATTACACACTTCTTTAATTCTTTGTTAGAATGTTTTTATTCTCCATATCTTATAGGGCAGGGTTGTAGCTTTAGACAAGAGTGCCATAAAAGTTGAGAAAGTGATAAAAAACCTTGAAAGATGGAATATATCATGTGTTGACACCTACGCACAAGATTCAACTAAATGTTTAGACGTAAATTCAGGTAAGTTACCCTAAATATTTTAAATGGACTTGTCCATTTTTCAAGTTGGACTAGACTATTTATTATTTTTAGGGAAAATTTCAGAATTATTTCTGACGGAGCTGCGAACATTGCAGATCATGATCAGATGGTACAAATGTAAGCGCATATCTTTACGACAAAAATCAGTTTTCTCTTAAAAGGACTCCACTGAAGTTTTTTGACATGATGGGACGGAAAATAATTTTTCAAGATTAAAGCTCCATTTGATGTAAATCTAGAACCATAACTTGTGTGCAAAATTTCAGATCATTTGCTCACTCTGTTTTTCCAGAAAAAATTTGTATGCTGAATACAGGATTTATCAGAATTTAGCTGTAGTCTTTATTTATGAGCTTTGTAAGGCAATAAACTTCAGTTATAAAACTTGAATAGAATATTAACTGTGTTTACAGGCCTTGAGGCTATAAAACTTTTTCTGTCTCAAAACTCAGGATTTTCATTGGTCAGTGAACATTCTGTGGCAATATTTGACCAATGAAATACCTGAGATGTGAGTTTGAGCTTAGGGAATTTCTTTATAACCTCGGACCCAGATGCAATTGTTGTTGTTTTTTTTCCAGAAATCAAAGGACCACCACCATTTCCCCCTGGGTCATTTGATAGAGTGCTATTAGATGTTCCATGCAGTGCACTCGGTCAGAGACCGTCATCACGGAACAGAATGACGTTAAAATCTTTACAATCCTACCCAGTCTACCAAAGAAGATTTATTGAAACCGTATGTATAGAACTTATGTCTCGTGTAGTTTGGTTTATACAGAATTTATTTTAGTGCGATTGTGTAGGAAGCTATAAGCTTATAGAGACACTTTCAAATCCGTTCCTGGAACCAACCAGTATTGAGCAATGAGTGTAAGGTTTCTTGCTGAAGGAAACAATGACTTTCCCCTGAAATGGTGTTTGGTTTATACAGAAATATTTTAGTTTTCGATTGTGTAGGAAGCTATACGCTTATAAACACATTATGGAATCTGTTCCTGCAACCAACCAGTACTGTGCAATGAGTGTTGGGTTTCTTGCTCAAGGAAACAAACACTTGCCCCTGAAAGTGTTTGAACCCCTGTGGCTGGCAATCATAAGATTACTAGTCTGACATGTTCACCAATCGGCCATGCCGCCATTTATAAACTCCTGTAGTTTTATTTAGCAAAAAGATAAGTTCTATAACATACAGTATAACCTGTTAAGAGCAACAACCTGTTGTAGGCAAGAATTTTGGTTGTTGCTGAGAGATGTTGCTGTAGAGAGGTTAAATATTGGTAGGTTGTTGAGTTGTTTAAAGATTTTATGATTATTATTATGTTGACAGGGTGTTGAGTTGTTAAAGAATGGAGGAACTCTAGTATACAGTACATGTACTATTACCATGGAAGAAAATGAAAAACAAGTAGCCTGGATGCTGCAGAAATATCCTTATTTAAAACTTGCAGAACAGGTAAGCAACACTCTTTTCTAAGGGGAAATAACCAGGTATTACCATTTTATAGTCAAGATATTTGTCTCCCTTTGTTAGATTATTGATAAAGGGAGGTAAAGCATGTAATTGTGTACTTTTTTTCTTCTATAACTTGGTTATTTATGTAAGTTTCTACAGCAAGAGTTGAGATTTTTCTTCAGAACTGATGTAAATGAGTTTAATGATGAAGAGGGGAGAGCAATTTATCAAAAGATTGTTAATTCTACATATGCCCTATGATTTATGAAACATTGCATTTGGGGTCATCTAGGGTCTTATATTATCATTGTAATCTGGAAAGTTGTTGTGATATACAAATGTCACAGTTGATTGTCTTTTTGATCTTTTGCAAACACTGATTTATACTTACAATTGCACTACCTGTAAAGAAAAGCTCAATTTTTGTATAAGTCCAATGTTGTTAAAGTTAAATGTTTATAAATATACATAACTTACATGATCATATTCTCTTGTTTTACAGACTCCACATCTAGGTGATGTGGGCCGTCCATGCAAGGGTCTCACCAAATCTCAGTGTGAGATGTTACAGAGATTTGACCCGACCAGTGTGACCAGCAAGTCTAAATATTTCACAGATAATGACACTATAGGATTCTTTATTGCAAAATTTATCAAAGTTGACGACAATACTTGATAGTTTTGTTTAAGGAACTTTCATGCAAAAATTTCGCAATTCAGTTGTGTTCTGTAATGCTTCGAAATTCACCCTGTGATCAAGTTTTAAAATGTGTATATGTGTATTTATTATTGTCATAATCAGTATAGTCATGTTAAACACAAAATTTGCTTACTTTATTTAATGGTTTTTTACTGCTTTGAAATTTGAATGATTCAGTTGTTAATAAGGTATTTTGCGTTTACTTTGTTGATTTTTCCACCTAAATTTTGTGTAATGCACTTAAACTGCTTTGAAAGTGGAACTGTCCATTGTAATCAGAAGGGATTTCAATAATACGGGGAAGTCAAAGGCTATATGCAAATTGAGTTGGGACTTTGGCTTGCCTGGCTATAGACTACATGTGTATATTTAAAAGGAAATCAAATAAACAATTAAAAAATATATAGATTTCTGTATCTATCAGTCAAATTTTCAGTGTCATTTTGGTGCTCAGCTGCCATTTTCAATGTAACTTTGATAACAAAACAATCACAACTTTTTGGCTTAAGAATAAGTGTTGAGGTGTTCCGATTGAAAACTAAAGTGGTGCATTAAATACCAAATGGCACATTTAAAAAGAAAAATGAAGAGTCTATGTTGTGTCATGTTCAGATGATTTTTCATGTACATTATCTATATGTTCAGATGTCTGTGCAGTATATAACTACAATGTACATGTACTGTATAATACAGTGTATGAAAATGTTTATGAAATTTTTTATCTTACACTGTGTGCTAAGATATCTAAAAATTGTTCACTATGTTTGTGCAAAATGATTACTACATGGACACTATGTTCAGATGTTTTTGTTATATGAGAACTATAATTATGTGCATAATTTTAGATGTAAGTGCAAATTTATATTTGTACACCTTTTTCTGATCATTGCATCTTTTCACAGGTTTATACAAATCTATTGACTGCACCCTTTTTAGATGTCTATAAAAATCAATGTGAGAGCTTCATTTTTAGGTTCAATAAAATTCTGTTTCCTGTTGTCTGTTAAAAATCTATGTGAGTGCATCTTTATCAGATGTCTATAAAAATATTTTTGAGTGCACCTTTTTCAGATGTCTCTACAAACCTTTGCAAAAGCACCTTTTTCTGATGTTTAAGCAAATTTATGTGAGTGCACCTTTGTCAGAACTCAGATGTTTGTAAAAGTCTATGTGAGTGCACAGTTTTATGTATATGTGCAAATCTATGTGGTGAACCTTTTTCAGACCATTGCAAATCTATGCAAGTGCATTGCAAATCTATGTGATTACATCTTTTACAGATGTCTTTGTTAAATGTTACTACACAATACATATCAAAGCTTTCACATTTCCTCTATGTTGACATACATATATATAACATAATTAACATACATATGTAAAAAATCATTGTCTTGCAGAACAAATGTTAACCTGAACTAATAAAACTTTTTCCCAGTTTTAGGAGTAGTAGCGAAAAATACATTAAATGAAATTGAATTATTTTGCTTGAAATATTATGTGATACTTGAAAACAATACTGATTACAAAATTCTCTCTTCTGGATAATTAAAGTTTATTTATGAATGATAAAATTGTAAAATGTAATGATTGTTCATTTTAATGTAATATGCAATTTTTAAAAGATTAAAACACTAGTGCAAATTATGAGTTATTCTGTTTTTATTGGCGTGATTTTAATTCCTTTGACAGTTGCGTGTGATATTGCTTGCTTGGTTATTTATTTGATCGTCTTTTCTCATCTAAATGATTTGTAAATTAAAATTAGAAACAACAGGTAGCTTTTAATAAAAATAATAATTGGAGCGAGATTATAATATTATTACCTCCCTTGACCGTTTATCAATAAATAAGTTTATCAATAAATCAAGCGTTTGATTTTATAAGAAAGTCAGAACATGTGCTATTAAAAATGTAATGAGGAATCAGTTACTAATATTTAACCTTGAGCAGGTTTACCTCATCAAGAGACCTCGAGAGTTTTGTACAAATACCCTTGACTTAATACCATCATTAAAATTCTTATCAATACATGACACTGATTAGTAACATACATGTATATAGTAGCATATAGCACTTTTCCCTAAGGCTTATTCGTATGCTTTTTTCTAAGTCATGTGCAGCTACTTTTTATGCCAGCACTTTTAGCAAGTTATTTCACTGTAAGCCGGGCATCTAAATGCGTGCGCTGCTGAACATAATGGTTGATTTGAGAACGAAAGTGTTTGTCTGCTAGTCAATATATTGAGAAAAAGTGGATGTTTTTCTAATTTCGTTCTCTATCGGGGCTATTCTGACCTTGTTTTTCGATGGGTTTGTTTGGTTTTACGGCGCACCAACACAATTTAGGATAACCCCGTGTGTTAAAAAATTAAAGCAACACAAGGGATCAAATCACCCGCAGGAGCTAAGAGATGCATAGACTCCAGTTATTTGAACACATTAAGTCGCCTCTTACGATTACGGAGGGATAAACGGTGGCTGCAAACCTGATGCCTCAACCGTCAAAGACAACACTTCATCACAAGGGCAATTAGGGGCTTCCATGGCCGAGTGGTTGAGGTCATTGACTTCAAATCATTTGCCCCTTACCGCTGTGTTCGAATCCCGACAGACCCTTTGGATTCTTTCATGTGAGGAAGCTATCCAGCTTGCTTACGGAACGTCGGTGGTTCTACTCAGGTGCCCGTTCGTGCCTGAAATAATGCACGGAAGGGCACCTGAGGTCTTCCTCCACCAGTAAAGCTGGAATGTCGCCATGACCCGTACTGTGTTGGTGTGACGTAAATCCAAATCAAGCAAACAAACAAACAAACAAACAAACACAAGGGCAATTATTTTAGACAAGCCCTATATTGCAGTAAAGCAGAGACCCTAAACTATTTAACGAATGAATATGGACATGTTATTATCACCTACAAAATATGTTTATTTACTCCATAGGTTGTGTTTTTTTCAATGACATTAAACAGTCATATTCGACATTATTTATTACAGTAATTATTTCAGTAACATGGCACATTACGTCATATCTTAACATTTTTTAACAAAAGCTTCATTTTATACCTATCTCTTAAAATGTCACCGTATTTAGTTCAAAGCACGTATTAAAGCAACCAGTGCATCAGCGTCGCACATTTACGCCATGACTTTTTAACCCAGACTTTCAATCCTTGAGCTATGAGCCGTACATTTTCATTTAAAAAGGCTAAAGTATAAAAAGAACCACCTGGCAATTAGCTTATAACAGTGTTAAACGTGGAGCAGACTTGCCCAATTCTTTGATTGTTTCACTGTCGTGCAGCTTGTTACTTGTTGCTGTAAGAGCTACGTCTTCATGCAGTATTACATACAATATAAATCATTGCTGCATCTAACAAACAACTGTTATATTTTCATCAAAAGATGACAGTAAAGCCTACGATAATGACTTCCAGAGAATCTTCATTAAATAGGAAACCACCTATGAACAAACCAATTTAACCATGATTTGCACGTGAAAGTACATGTATAATATACCGTTGGAAAGATTATTGATTTTTCTAACCAGCTGTCTATTTCCGCACGATTTGCACGTGCAATAACATTTTATCAGGTCATCCAAATACATGTGGTTTTGTATACTGCTTAGGGTAATACATGTTTCTAAATACATTTTTATGATCCCTTTTTATAAGGAGAACATATTTTTGCTTGTATTGGATTATTAAATATTATAAAACATTTGCTAATAGGTTGTTTCCCATTTTTTAAATTGTTTACATTTTACTTTTTTGTTTTGGTTTTTTAAAACACATTAAAAAAACTTATATTCTTTTGTCGTCTGCATTTCCTTTGGGATTGCTAATACTTTGGAAAACACCCACTTTCTTTTATGTAAGTTTTATTATCTGAACAGAAGCCAAATGCTCAAAATTGTACTCTACTTCATGCAATCATGTTTTCGTATTTGGTTGCCATTTATTGTATGTTATTCTAACATATAAATATGGAAATCTCATTTGGTGTTCTTTTCTACCTTTTATATAAAACATAAAACAGCTATTTAATGTAATGTTATAATACTTAAATAGAATGCTTATTACCACATTTCATGTAACATCAACATTTAAAAGTCATAAATGTAAGTTTACAACTGAATAATTTAATATTAAAATAACAGTGCAAGAATAAATGTCTAAAATGAAAGGCATTTAATTTAGTAATACTAAATTATGTCCTCTTCTTTTTGGTTATTCAGCATTTTCTTCACGAGCGGCGTAAATTTATATTGTATATATTGTATTAGAATATACAAGACACGTTTCAGCACAAAGTATGAATGTTTGTGTAGATAACTATTTAATATTTCAAAATGTCATAACAATTTAAATATAAACGCCCAGTTTAATAAGAATGTATTTATACTGTATCGTTTAAAGTCGCTTTTTTACATTTCAACATAGTTTATAGCTGTTCAGATTTTGTGTATACTTGAGTTAATTTATATTCGTCACAGGTTGCCCATATTGGCGAGTCCTCCAGAACAATATTACTCATTTTAGATTTTGGAGGGTAGTGCAAGATTAAAGCACTCATGCACAGGATCTCGATTTAAACTCTCATCCGAAAGACTGATTAGTAATTTAAAGCTGGCCAGTCCGGGAATCGAACATACGATGTGGAGATTACAAGTCCCTAATTCTAACATGCGGGATGGCTAGCTAGCTGCTGAGAAGAGTACTGTGTTGTCGAGGGGAATATTTGAATAAGTGGCAACGGTAGCGCAAAACAAAATGTTTTTCATATGTATAAAAATGTTACCCTACCACACCCACTTTAAACACTTTTTTGACCATTTCACTATATAAAAAGCCTTATTCAAAATATCACTAAAATTTACCACAATGAGGGACTGTTTCTAAAGTTTGCCTACATTTTCTTAAAAACATTTTTTTTTGTTGATTTTGCAAAATATTAAATACTTTTACTATGTAAGTTTTGATTATAATATCTGGTATCATATTTGCTTATTTTGCAAATAAATACCTACAATTATTATATAATTAAAATCAAACACTTTTTTCTTTCCAAAAAGAATCTGAGAGGTACATAATGTGTAAAAGGAAAAAAGCAAGAAAAATAAATAAAGAAAAACAAAGTTGCCTCTTTTAGGGTTTGAACCCACGCCCCTCAGTTTAAATGCAGTTGACAGTGATTCTAGTCCATTTGAATACTCTTCAAAGCGGATGTAATGCACCTAAATGCAGCATCATATATATGATGATATATATATACGATAAAAATCATTTCTGCATTTAACAACTGTTTTATTATCGTTCAAAGATAAACGGCAAAGCCTACGATTAAGACGACTTCCAGGTCAATTTACACTGAGAAACTTTATTTCATAGGAAACCACTTACAAACAAACCAATTTAACCATGATTTGCACGTGAAAGTACATGTATAATATATCGTCAGAAAGATTATTGATTTTTCTAACCAACAGTCTATTTTCGCACGATTTGCACGTGCAATAAATTTTACCAAGGTCATTTAAATACATACATGTACATGTGGTTTTGTATACTGCATAGGGCACGATTTGCACGTGCAATACAATTTTATCAATGTCATTTAAATACATGTACATGTGGTTTAGTATACTGCATAGGGTAATACATCTTTTTAAATACATCTTTTTCATGAGCCCTTTTTATAAGGAAAAGATTTTTGTGCCCCCACGTTAGTGGCGGGCATTTAGATTTACCCTTGTCCGTCCTTCCGTCCGTCCGTCCGTCCATTCACTTTTGTGTCGCACGTAACTCAAAAAGTATTTGACCTACAGTCATGAAACTTTACAAGTTTCAAGTTTCAAGAGTTTATTCAGCATAAACATACAATATGTTCATTGCCATACATATGATATAATGTGCATGTAATATGACAAGAAAACAAACAAACAAACAAACAACAAAAATAAAATACATTTGGTAACAATGAGAATAACCCAAACAAACACACACACAAACCTCAAAAAATATTTTTGAGAAAAGTTTAAAGAAATAGTAATTATTCAATATGTATTTAAACAGTCAGATTTATTGATTATACGTATGTCGTTTACATGTAGCTAGGTATAAATACTTTGCCAGTTTATTTATAATACTTTTTTGGCTAGATGTCATAATATTTCTAAATTTCTGGATACTAGGCCAAGAACAGTAATAATTAGGAAGGCAACGATATCTTATTTCTCTATAAAAGGGACTCACTAATAGAAAATGATACTCATTTTCAACAACATTCATGTTACAACGTAAACAGATTCGTTCAGATCTTGGAATATTCCTGTGTCTACCTTCCTCTATCAGTAATTTGTGAGCAGAACATCTAAATCGACATAAAGTAGTACGATAATTTAAATTACTAACACACAACAAATATTTTTCCGCAACATGTTCATTTTTAAATATGCAATAAGTTTCTAATTTAGGTAAACTGTTGATTTCACTTTGCCATTGTTGTAAGTATTGATCTTTTATTCGTGCTATTAAAATATTTAGTTGATCATTTGTAATATTTTGATTATTCCATAAAAACGGAAACCCTAACTCATTCAACAAATC